TGCCTATTATCTCGATTTGTTATTTTTATTCTAATTCATTTTCCTTGCTTATTCTTTCTGTTGACTCTTTCGATTTTAATTTATTCTGTTATGACCTCTCCTCTGCCTACTACCCTGCCTGATTTCATTGTGTTTAATGAAGAATTTCAATTTATTATTTGCAAAATTCACCAAACCGCCATTCACCCATCAAAAATTCAGGATCATTTGACCAAACATTTGACCGATCATGAGATTCAAAAAAATCAATTTCTTCAATCTTTTCAACCCCTAGCCCTGCAACCCCTTCAAATCATTCACCAAAACATTAAGGGGTGGGAGCCTATTCAACCAATCGATAACCTCCCAAGCCCTAGGCCTGCATTCACCTGCCTGATTCAGGGCTGCTCTACCCTAGCCCTGAATCAGCAAAAAATCAAGAATCACCTTTCCCAAAATCATCGAATCTTTGGTGCCAAAAATCAGCAAGCCCAGATAGGAAATTGCCTGGTTCAGGCCCTAGAGGGTTCTACCTATCTCTTCCAAATTGATCAATTTGAATCAGGCCGTTCAAGTTCGAGTTCTGACGAATCGCCCCCTTCCCCGAAACGACCAAGGGTTCAATCTGCAAGTTTTAATCAACCTGATCTGGCTGCTCAGTTCCTGGCCAATCATAGGGCAAAGCAGCTTTCCATTCCCCAAAAAGATCAAATTTTTCGCGTTTTTGGCTCGAGGGATGAAACAAGCTCATTTCATAACGAAACTCAATATCCTGCCTTCCTAAACGGGCGAGATTTGGGGGTTTTAGCCAATCTATTTCTGCTAGATCTGGATCAACCGCATCAAGCGCATTTTCTTCTGGATTCCATTCACTATATTTTAGTAAAGGGTTACAAAAGGATCAATTAAACTTCCTCTCAAGCTTTAATAGCTTTAAATGATCTAGCTCGCAATTAGGGCCCCAATTTAATGCGGAAATTTCGGCCTTTGCAGAATTAAAATGTAACGGTCTACAAAGGAGCTCAGTAAAAGACAAGTTTGTTTATAACTCGTAATCAAGGAATTTTCTTATAGGAAAGAAAGGCTATCTAAAAACGAAAATCTAGAGCTTTTATATACTGCCTGAGGTTCCGCCTCAGGCAGGACTATATCCAGGAAGGTTTCTCCATACCGGGAAGTTCGTTGGCTCAGGAAGTCAATCCAGGAAGTCAATCCAGGCAGTTCCCTGATTTCAGGAAGTGACAGGTAGAATCTAGTATTAGAATATCCTAGTGTTTAATTAGCAAGGCATATACTTTTTATTAGGGATAAGGAGGGAGAGCTTACCATAGTTTATAGGATTATTAATTTGTAGCTTGATCGTCTGGAGAGTCTGTATTACCACAGGCAGGGCAGTGAGTATAGCCAATATGCCACTGCACCCCAATAGGCTCGGTAGGCTTAACAGTAGGGGTTAGGATGATAGACTTGGGACAATCATCACATAGAGACGCCAGATTATGCTTAAGGGCCAATATATGGCGTATTCCAAGCTTTACCTGCTGTAGCCGGCACTGATCATTCATAGACGGGCTGAGCAAGAGGACTGAAACAAAAGGGTCGGTTTTATTCAAAAGGTCCACAAGCAGACAGAGAACAGGACGAGTCCCTTGATACATCACTTGTTGCTCTGATATGTTGGCTGAGGGAAAGGGCACTATAGCAGTCTGGCAGACTTTACAGACGGGCTGGCTAGAGGACGACATGGCGGAAATAAGGACAGCAGAGTGAGATCACTGGAATAATAGTTGTAAGAGGGTTATGCACGAAGAGGATCTAGAGGCACTCTAATAAAGATGTTTTAGTACTTCGCCAATGTCTTCCTTAAGTTCAACTATCAAAGGGTGTATAGAGGAAAAGAGGAAGATTACTTACTCTGGTAAAGGCGTTTTGATGCTTTACCAACGTCTTTCTCCAGTTTAACGATCAGAGGGCGTATGGAGAGGAAGGAGAGAGGAAGAGGGAAGAAAGAGAGAGAACAGAGGAAGGATAGGAGGGGAAATTATATACCTTAGTAAGGACATATGCTTTAATACTTTGCCAATGCCTTCCCTAAGTTCAACATTCAGAGCGCGTGTAGAGGAGGAATAGAAGAGGCAAAGATAAAGGCAAAGACAGGAAACAAGAAGGGGGAGTTTCTAGATCTTTTTTATTATAGAGGAATTATTCTGTGGCATCCCTAAACCCCCTAAGGAAGGCTTCCTCAGCGTCTCCCCATAGAGGAATCTATTATACTACTAACTCCTACCTGAAGAAAATATTGAGGGAATCCGTTAATAGTAAAATAAAGAAGCCGAAATATCTGTATGATTGAACTATGAAGTAGAGTATGAATTGAGAGTACAAAGAGAGTCATATTCCTTAGGATAGTTCTACCTCATCCGCCTTTCTTTTCTTAGGGTCGGAGCCCTCTGCTACATTCCCAGGTACATCTTCTGTTGTATCCATAGGGCCCTCACCATCCTTCCTAGCCTCCTCGCCCTCCAGATACTGGACGTCGATATCAGACATTTCACGTATGCGAGAACTCGCCTTCATAGTACTGATTAAGGCTTTGACTACGTCCTCTGGGGAGAGGCGTTGGTCCTTGGGGACGAGTTCCATCGGGGCATGGCGGACCTTGCTGATAGTATCATCCTGATTGAGGACCCATATACCGATATCAAAGCTCGGTGCCGAACTGTCTCCAGTCACGTCCAGGGTATCGGTGAACATATCCCAATTCAGGGTGGCCACAAGGTCGGGGACAGCCTTAGTAAGGTTCTTGGCAAAGACGCCAGCATTGAAGCTGTCCGACACAATGTAATCGTAAATCTTGACCGTCCGGGTCTGCCCGACACGGCTTACCCGCCCGATGGCTTGCTGCTTGAGGGGGTCGGATGTGGGGGTATCAAAGAGGTGTACGTTCCGGCAGAGATCCTGAAGGTTAGAACCCGCTGCGTTGACGTAATAGGAGCATATTAAGACCATGCATTCATCCACTTTGGTTGTAAAATCTCGTACCAGCTCGACACGCTCCTTGGAGTTGAGTTCCGAGTGGAAGACCCGGCAGTCAATACGGGCGTGGTGGAGGGCGGCAGCGATAAAGAACTGCTGGGCAGGGGTCGTGCACCAGACCACCGACTTTTCCTGTTGCAGGAAGACCTCCTGCTGGATTATAGACAGGAGGGCGCGTAACTTCGGGCTGCCGCGCAACAGGTACAGGAGGACGTCTTGATCGGTAAATTGCTCGGGGATATCATGCGTCACCGGGGCAGGGGCTGTAGCATCCTCGGTATGCTTCCGCATCAGGATCTGGTTTTCAACTTGCATCGCCTTCTTGATCAGTTGAGGACCGAGTGTGAGGCGCCGGGCCTGAGTGTCGAGGGATCGTGCACTAGCTCGCACTAGGAGGTGGTGGCAATACCTGAAGAACAGCCAGGTGGTGACCAGCGTGAGTTCTCGATACTTGGCCATGTTCCATATGATTTGGCCCTCGCGGGTCTGGACAAAGAGGTGGCGGCGGAGTTGCTTCCACCATCGGTGATATTGGGCAGCTTCACGGGCACAGTAACAAACAAAAACCACTTGGTATTGGGAAGGAGGTATGTCATCGCCAATGCGTTTACCATTCGCAAACGGGATGCAGGAGGATAACGAGCGCCGGATCATCAGGTGTTTCCATAGTTGGCGGAGGCGGAGGCCGCGGACCACACTATCCGGGCAGACGAGTTCGTCAGACGCTTTGAGGATGAATCGCTGGACCGCCTCATTCGTGAGGATCAGCTGGGCTTGGGGGTGGGTGTCGGGGAGCGTAAACGGGTTGGTCTTGGGGTCCACGCCTATCCACAAGTCATCGTTTTTGGGTGGCAACAGGAATGGGAGTAAGCCGGCCATATCGTTATAGGAATTGAAGATGGGGGTAGCGGTGACCAGGATGGTCCACTCAGGGTGGATCCACCGGGCAGCAGTCCATTGCGCCGTGTCCGGGTTCCGAAGCGTATGGGCCTCGTCGGCGACCATCGTGTCGAACAGTCCCCGAAGGGATTTAGGCCACTCCGCCAGGGAGCCGTTGCCATATTCCTCCGCCCATGACTTGTACTCGGCGGGTCCATGTCGCTGCGCCAAGGTCTGATAACTGGTAATGACCACGGCATGATGTGCTTGCGGGCCAGTCATCCATGGGAGGTCGCCTGCCAGCTTGGGGATGACTTTGACGTCGACTGGGGGGTCTTCCCGCGCGTCTCCAAAGTACACAATGACCTTGAGCCGTTTGGTGACGGCCTTGATCTCAGCGGCCCATTGCCACACCAGGTGGGGGGGGCAGATAATGAGGGTGGGCTTGCCTTTCAGCGTTGTGGCCCGCTACAAGCAAACAGGTTAGTCAAAGATCAGGATGATAGGGAGGTGCTGGAGAAGCCTTCCCCAGCACCTACCCAGGGAAAAGCCAGAAAACGAATAGGGGTGGGGTCACTTACGTGCAGAATATACCCGGTAACCATCCAGGTTTTGCCAAGTCCAACCATATCGGCCAAGATGCACCCGGAGAGCAGTGGATTTTCGCGGAACTGTGCGATTGCATAGATGGCCACGGGCTGCCAAAAACGGAAGGACGTATTGATCCTCATCGCGGGATGCTTGGGGACGTCTGGGTTGCTGATATTGAGCGCCTCGCAGGCCTCCTCGTGATTCTCGCGCTGGAGTTCGAGGTTGTCGAGCCAAGTCTGCTGCTCGCGAGCGATTTCGATGGATGCCGCGGTGACTTGGGACAGGGTCACCCGGCCGTCAGGCGTGTCTTTATGGGCCTCCTGAATGGTGTCGGCGGTGTAGTGTGCCAATGTCAGCGTATCGACCTCTTGCCCGGTAGGATGATATATGGAGTAGGGCCCCGCGGTAGCCATAAGGACCTTGAATGGTGTCATGGAGGTCTCATCCGCCTCGTCCTGCATGTTATCCTTATGGGGGAGCTTTGTGTTACCAGTATCCGAGGCATCTGGCGCCGGCTCCTCTGCTAGTTCCTCCTCGATGAGGCGCAGACACAGTTCGATCAAATGGAACTGCCAATAGGGCTCGCTGAGGTCGGGAGTCTGAGAGACGGCTTGAAGTGCCCGCTGGGTTGCGGGTATCAGTTCATCTCTCCAATGGCGGAGACGAGCAACCGGCCCGGCCGGTGTAGGGGTATCGGGGGTCGGAGTGGATGATCGGCTTGCCGATGGGGGGGTGCTGGCAGGGGCAGGGGCAGCGGAGACGGGAGTCGGGGTTCCTGTGGGATTCTTGCTCTTAGCAGACGACCTCATGCTTCGGCTTGGTCTCGGCGGGGGGGGTCGGGTAGAACGCTTGCTTGGGACCCTTGGCTTGGAGGCCGGTTTCTCGGGGGCAGCGGGGGCAGCGGGTCCAGACGCGGGAGGTTCTGTGGAAGGCTTCCTCGGGTCCTTCTCCAGACCAGCGTTCTCGCTAGGTGGGGGGTGGGGGGTCTGGAGAGAAGCACGGATAAGGTCGCGCGTCTCTTCATCCACGCTGAGGAGGGCCATACCTTTTTCCACACGGGAGGCGGCAAATTCCTGTCGAATAATGCGGAGGATCGCCCACATCACCTTCTCTTTATGCTCCTGTGTCCAGGCTTTCTTGTAGAAGATCCCGTCCACGTTGCGCGTATTGACGTTGACCAGGGTGAGTAAACAAAAGGCAGTCCAGTCGGCCCGGTCCCAGTTGGTCTTGTCGGAAAAATGGTCGAGGTATTTGGTATCACCGCTGTTGGCCGCGGCATGGATACGGGCAATGATGGTGGTGAACGATTCACCTCGGTTCATGTTGTCGCCGCTGGATTGAGCGGGGAGGATAGCGTGCAGGTAACAGTATAGGAAATGGGGTCGGAATAGAGTACCCTTGAGCCATTTCTTCAGTTCTTTCACGCTCGTAACGGTCTCTAGGGCAGTACAGATGCCTTTCAGGTTGCTAATCTCGGTGAGGTCGAATCCGGCAAGGGTATTTTCCTGGTCGATATCCTCCAGGGTGTCGTTGTCCGCGTTGATGATGTCATCCAGGCCGTCCTCGTCGGACGAGAATTGTAGGGTAGTCATCTGGAAGGTGCTGAGCTTGCCTTCCTAGAAGGTCGAGTGAGGTGCAGGGGAATGGGTTCGGAGAGAAGAGTAGGAAAGGAGAGAAGATCTAGAGGGAGGAGGGGGGGGAGAGGGGGTATTTATACCTCTTGGCGAAAAGGAAGGTATCCCCAGGACCTGCTATGCTGTCCGCATCGCTGCCATGGCATGTGCCGGGAGTAGTGAATGCCGCGCTTTGTTGCCTGCGGGTGATTCCACTGGGGACGGCCCAGGCATGCACCACAAAGCGATGCACGTAGCCGGCTAAAGGGGATCCCCACCATCGCCTTGTGGCCTTTAGTAGGATCTCTCCGCTATCCCGCGTGCGATGACCTGGGTTCCTGGCCCTCGACCATACAAGGTTCTGGGGAAGGCTTCCTCAGGAGATCCCCGCCATGGCATGTGCCGGGAGTAGTCAATGGCGGGAGTAGTGAATGCCGGGAGTAGTGAGTGCTGGGAGTAGTGCATAGCAGGAGTAGTGAATGCTGCGCTTTGTTGCCTGCGCATGATTCCACTGGGGACGGCCCAGGCATTCACCACAAAACGATGCACGTAGCCGGCTAAAGGGGATCCCCACCATCGCCTTATGGCCTTTAGTAGGATCTCTCCGGCTAGCAGTAGAGGAGTACTCTGTGGGTGACTATCCTGTGTGTGATAACCTGGGTTCCTGATCCTTGACCATATAAGGTTCTGGGGAAGGTTTCCTCAGGAGATCCCCGTGAGGATAGTTGGGAATAGTTCCACGTCCATAAGGCTGTCTACTGCTGGCTGAGCGCGGTCGTAGGCTCCTGAGGCCGGGCCACGAAGACGCCGCAGCCTGGGTATCTGGTTCCCGGGTGGTCCGCTTGCTGGGGAGGCCCTTGGTCGGCAGACACCTCTCCAGCGGCCCGCTGCACCCGGAAGATATATCCTCCCGCGCGGGTCAGGGACTGGGCAGGCACCGCGGTGCCGATAAGGGACGGGAACTCACTCGGATCAGTTGATGGATGCTTGGCCCGGATGTGTGTCTGCAAGGCCCGACGGGAGAGGCGCAGCGCCGGGCAGCCGGGCCACTGACAGGGCAACGCCTCCCATTGGGGCAGCCTCGGGAAGGGGGCGATGGGGGGCTCCTGGGCCAGGAGACGGTGCCAGACGTCGAGAGGAGACTGGACCGCCAGGGACTGGATGGTCTGGCGGTCCGCCGCACTCAGCAGGGCATGGCTCGTGTGGTGCTCGATGTGCTGGCGCACCTGCGGAGGGTAGATGGCAGTCTGACATGTGATGCACACCAGCAGCTGCCATTCCGGGTAGAGTTGTAGGAAGGCCCAGGGCAGTGATTGGACCGCATGTGTCGACCGACCCGACAGAACGCGGGGCTTTTGTATTGGCTGGTATGGTGGGGAGATCTCTGGCGGAGTGTGGCTCTCGCAGTCTGAGAGACCTCGGAGAGGCACCGAGCGGAGGACGAGGGTGTGCCACAGTCGGGATGCCACGGCGAACTGCTCAATCCGGCCCGGCGTTAGGCCGAATGGCTGGCTGACGTCCACGGCATAGACCTGTTCGTTGATGTGGCTATAATGACCTGCCTGCGCAGCCAGGATATTACTGAGAGCCGCGGTGGCGATTCTCCAATCAGCTGGCGTTGCCTGCGAAGCGAGGTGCTTTTTAGCAATAGCAATGGCAATATGTCGGTAGCTACAGGTGGTAATATCCTGCCCATGAAGGAAAGGCTGGGCGGTCTCTCGCATGAGGGCGGTGATCCTACCGGCCTGGGAACGGGGGGGCGTTGCCCCAGGTAAAGCGAAGAGATAGTCATCCATCGCGCTGGGCTGGACTTGACGGTAGTGTAAGCGCGGCTGTCCGTTCTTCCGCAGCTGCTGGTGGAGCAGCACAAGAAAGGGGCGGACGCGCAGCAGATACAGCACTACCAGCCGGCTGACTGAGGGGCACAGAAAGCGGGCTACATGCTGCGTAGTCTGAATGCGCACCTGCGACTTATGGTACTCGGTGATGAAAAGCACGTTGCCCTGGTGTAAGTACAGGTTCCGCGGTGTTGTCGAGGTATTCCGCCACTTCAGCTGCAGCAGTTCGGGCTCCCGGCTCGGCTGGCCCCACGTCAGTTGGATCAGGAGAGCAAGATGGTCGAGAAACCACTGAGCCTGGGTCCGATACGCCATAACGGCGCGCGGATCCCACCGATTATCCTGGCGGAGAGGGGCCATGCCCGCCGGCAGCGTCGTCTGGACTGCGAGCAACGGCGCATAGGTAGGCTGGAGCTGGTTCGCCGGTATATCAAGAAAGCAGAAGCCGGCCCGATGCTCGCCTAGATCATCGACTAGCGTGGTAAGATCGATGGAAGGATAAACGCCAAGGAGAAGTCCGTGCTCAAGCGTCTGGGTTACCGACTGGAGGAGGGCCTCAATCCACCCACGGATATCGTCAAGATGAATCCCCCGGGGAGACCCGCGGTAGAATAGAGTCTGGTAATCTGGCGACCACAGTATATTCCCCGGACGAGCGGTATGACGGATGTGCCAACGGGCCCGACCGAGCAGCTCGAGGATGGCGTGAAGGGGGTAGAGACTCCCACGGACGGCGTATCGGGCTTGGATCGCCTGGGCCCGTTGGTACTGATTCCGGACCTCATGCCGGGGCCGAATGTCCTGCAGATAGTGGTACCGCCGGAGAGGGAGGGCATATTCGAGTAGCAGGACTCGGCTGACCCAGATCAGGGCGGAGAGCGAGGAAGAATACGAGTATGGCTCCTGAAGGGTGAGGGTGGAGGCCTGGATACTAAGTACGGCCGTAAACGCCATCAGATTAGCCGCAAATTTATCGCCGGTATGTTGGATGCTAGTCGTCGTAAGACAGCTCAGGCAGAAACTGAATAGACTTTCGTCGAGCCATCTCTGTCCCGCAGGTGGGAGGGCCGGTGGAGCCAGCCGCCCTGTATCATCGGTGTGAGAGAAGCACTGGGCAGATTCCACTGTTGGAGGTAGGAGGTACTCCTCTTCCTCATCCTCATCTTGTTCCATGTCCTGCTTATTGTCGCTAGATACACTGCTGACCTCGCTAGCGGAACACCTGAGGAAGGCTTCCTCGGGGCTTTCCTTATGGTCGGTTGCTGGGAACTGGTCGTTTATTTCAACCCTGTGCTGCTGACGGCCCTGTGGGGCACCCTGATTTTGCGGAGATGACGGCAGAATGTGAGAGTCCGGGGAAAGCTCCACTAAATGATCCGCTACGCTTGGCCGGCGGTAGACAGGGATGCAGACTGCGATCATGGTCTGGTATCGGGTCACCTGCCTTTTCATAACAGGCCTCTCCTCGGCATCAACTGGGTCGCAGGAGGATACTGATAGCGATCGTTTTCTTAGCCGAGCTGGTGGGCTATAAGATGTTACTGGCGGCTCAGAAGATGCCGTAGTAATCACCGGTGGCGGTGCTGCTTGCGTAAATTCAACGGCGTCCGGCTGGCAGAGAAAGCGTTCCAACGTCGTCCAGATCCGATGGAGGTGCTCCTTTTGGCATAGATCCAGCGGGATCCCGAGATCTTGGAGCTGTCTGTTACCTGGAAACGGGGCGGCCCGGAAGGACCAATATAAAAAGTGCTTCCATATCTTGATGTATCTCTTCTCGGTAGCTGGCTGTAGCCGGTCCAACGCTCGCTTATATGGCTTACCGGCAATAGTGCTATGGAAGATCTGGCGGATCGGCTCGTGGGTGATGTCCAGTGTGTCCAACGCCCGGGCCATAATGCGGTCAAACGAGGCCCCGATCATGTGAAGAACGGTAGTATAATAGCTGCTCTTCTCAGTCTGCCAGACACTCGCAATCGTAGGATCTTGCTGAAGGGTGTTGGGATGGCCCCGGAGCTCAACAAGCGTTTGAAGGGGCCGTCCCTCCAGATATCGAAGCCATCCGGTCTGGGCTAACCATGGAGTTATCGCTTCCTTTCTAGGGGGGATCATCCCCGTACGCGGAATTTCCCCTGGTCCAGATTTGATTGGTCGAATGGGGGGGGGCGTCTTAGGCTGGCAGGAGCTCACATCGGCATCATTCTCCGCTGGCGTCGGGGATGATGGGGGTAGAGTCGGTAGGCACAGTCCATTGGGGGATGACTGTACAGAGGCAGGGGACGGAGGTGTTGGTTTTCCATCAGGATTAGGCGGTGCGACCGAGGACTGGGGGCTCATGGGTCTCTGGGGACGCGTGGGCGCAGTCACCCAGTACCGACAATAGCGGGCATGGGTGAACCAACTTTGCCCCTGAACAGGGGTCCAGGCCAGTGGGCGAGGGCTCCCGACAGTATGCTCGATCCGGTGATGTCGCTGGAGCCATTTCTTTGAGGCAGTAAGGAAGCCACAGTAGTCACACTGCAGCAGGTCATAGATTGGCAGGCCAGGAATAGCGTCAGTACCATCAGCCAGCGGAGGAAAATCAGTATGATCTTCACGAGGGCGCGCGTCCTCTGGAATACATTGTAATTGGTGCTCTATCGCGGTGCGGCTTTCAATCTGATGGCAAATACGTAAATGCCGCGATATTAGACGATTTGGGAGGGCATACTGGCAGTCATAACAGATAATACATTGATACTGACTGTTGTACCAGAGATATTGGAAAGCCGGTTCCATCTGGATGTATAACGGGGTTTACTCCCCTAATATTATGCAGATCTTGATGGAGAGAAAATGATGCCTACCAGGAGTAGTATTATAGTATAGGGAAAGAGACTAAGTATCATTCATTCTATCAGGAACAGATAGGAGGATAGATATATCATTATACTAGACGTAACGTGGCGCGACGGACGGAACGCGACGCGACCTCACCTAGCGCGACAAGAAAAAAGAAAAACCAATTACCAAGGATTAACTTTAGGGGGGGTCCTGTTACCCCACTCCGGATCCCCCCAGAGTTGGTCTAGCGCCGGGAGGCTTCACTATGGAGACCTGGGGGGGGATCCGGGGGCTCCTCTCTGATAGATCCTATACTAACTAACCGGAATGTTCCTCTGGAACGTTCCTCCACACCGGGAAGTTCCCTAACTTCAGGAGGTCACAGCTGGGTTACCCAACTTTAACCCGGACCCAACGCTGGTTCGTGCGGAAGTCTAGTAGCGGTGCTTCAAATGTAGGCAATACAATGGAAGACCTCGATTCGTCGTACATGGATCAATTAATCGGCTCTGTATTGGTGCAGTGATCTCTCTCTCTCTGTTCATATTTCATCTTTTTGATCGCCTCGGCTGGCCCCTGGCGCCTTGAACGTCTCTGTGGATGAGGGTGGTACCTTAGGCATCCAACACATCTTCAAGAAGATCTCATCAACAGTTTCATTCAAACTTCCATTGACATTGAATGAGAGCACCACCAGGATCTAATCACCTATTTGACAATGCTTTCTTGATATATAGCACCATATCCATTTTTTCAACCTCCATGTTTCACACAGTTTCACCCCCATGCCCAACCATCCGTGGAAATCCCCCCAATCGCAGTAACCAACCAACAAGATCTAGATTTTCTTCATCATAAGCGTCATGCTCTGATCCGTGAAACAATTCTCGTTCACATGCTGGGTCTTCGGTCGCTTTTTGCCTTCGGGGAATCGAAACTCGAACTCATAGAGAAGACGAGCCATGATCAGCTTAATTTCCGCAACGGCAAACTGCCGTCCAGCGCAGGCCTGATTGCCGTAGCCGAAGGCCAAGTTGTTGGGATGGGTCATGCCCGCCTTGTGCAGGTCTCGCTGATCAGCAGCGGACATGCGCTTGCGGTAGTTGCGCATCGGATCGAACTCGAGCGGTTCGGGATAGACGTCGGGGTCCATCGAGTGCTCGTAGTTGGCGAAGGCGAGCCTCGAGCCGGAAGGGACACGCGTGCCATCTTTGAGAGTGATGTCCTGGTAAGCCAATCTTTGAGGGTTGACTGATGTTATGGTGAAAGTTTCATGTCAGAGTGCAATTCAACAAGAGGGCAAGGGGAAGAAAGGGAGGAAACTAACGAAGGAGGACGGGACTGTGTCGCTGACTTTCCACGAAGAAACTGTCGAGTTTGTCCAGTCGTGTGCACCACTCTTTCGCACTAATCTCAGGATCCTGACCCGGAGGTCCTAGCTCCTTTGCAATTTCCAGAACCTCCTCTCTCAGGACCGGAAACCATTCAGGATGTTGGCAGAGATCATACAACATGTTGGATACATTGGACGCCGTGGTGTGGATACTAGCAAGCGTCAAGACACACTGGCGAGCACCCATCTCGTGAACATCAACTTCACTCGGCTTGCCGTGATCGAGCATCCAATTGAGAAGCGTATCTTCCTCCTCGACCTTCTCGCCCCTGCTTCGTTTCTCCTTGACGATGTTGTGTTGCCTCGTGAGCTCGCCAACAATCCTGCGACCGGTCTTCAATTGACGGAACGTGCGGTACCTGGCAGGGATAAGCCAGGCGACAATTCCGTACATCCAAGGCGGGAACATCTTGATCGTGAATGCGGTCGTAAACAGATCAACGGAGAAATCGATTGAGATCTTCAGCCATTCGGGATTCCGACACGTTGGGTGACCCATGAAGACCTTGGCCGTCATACGTGCGACGAGCATGCGCAAATGGTGCTCGATAGAAATCTCCGTCCAATCTGGCGTTCATAGTTAGTTTTAGCGATAAAATAATAGAGAGACGAATATGTCCAGCTTACCTTTCGCCTCTGGGAGATCGCGATGCCAACCATAAGCCAGCTCTTCCTTCGCCTTGTCCACATAGGTGTAGAGCTCTGGCGTGAGTTTCTTCTTGAGCACATTGAGATGAAGATCCGAATGATATAGAAACTGCATTGAGGTGTACTGTGGAGCAAGATTCTGCAAATCCTCATTAGTAAATCAACTCATCAGCCGTTCCCGGCGTCACATCGACACTCACTCCGGTCTGAGCCCCTTTGCTACTCAGTTTAGACGGGGCGATCAGCCGTATCTCCTCGAGATACCGCATCGGAAGAACCAGGAAGTCGACGTCATAGCGACGGAGCACAAACGGATGATTCTTCATCTGCCATGGAGTCAGAAACGGATCGAGCCTTAGACAACGGATAAATCTCGGGTTTCATGCTCACTGATTTGTACGCGCCGTGGATAATATCACGCGCACCCCTAATGAATCGGCTCTGCAGCACCACGGTCGGTTCGAAGAACGACCGGTATCCAAACACGGGCGCATTGGGACGCTTTCTGCCCGGAGTGAAGAGTGAAATCACAAGCCATGCCAGTGCCAGAAGCAAGGCAGCCTTTTTGGGACTATCGATATATAGAGTCTCGATATCCAAGACTGGCAAAGAGCGAAAAGTGAAATCCATGGCGCAGCTATCTGGCTTGCGAAACTGTGCGCAGTGAAAATGAACAGACTTGCGCAACAATGGCTCATTGGGCAAAGTTTTATAGCCAGCTCAGAGCTAATGTAATTGCTTCCGGACAGCCGCAGAACCTACGGAGTACGGAGTAGACGCTCTACAATTGACCCTCATTCGTAGTAGATAATACACCCACGGTAACCCATATGCGCTGTATAGAAACCGTTGGTTTCTCTCGTCTCTTGAGTGGATCTGATGGGTTGATCGCCGGCTGTTCTTGGCGGCACGGTCCGCATTCTCTGCTCAGTTATAGGCCATACAATGGTAACCTACATATTCTGGGAAATGACATCCCACTATCGCTGGCCGACCACCCCTCTTTGCCGAGAACCGTACAGTAAGCGCCTATACCTGCTAGTTCTCGTATCAGTGCTTACTCCTGTGTTTGCTTACTATTACCTATGAGAGTATGTACGCCGATCCCTGTCGTCCTGCACGGAGACGTGGTTCTCTTGGGCGCTATATTAGAATCTGCACGTACGTGTTAGATCGCAGGGGCCACCCAGCAGTTGTCGTATTGGGGCCACTCGGACTGGTGGATAATTGTGGCTTATCCTACACTACGGGAGGGGGTCGATCCCCATTAGCACTTGGCGAGCATGCAGACCCCACTGGGCGGTAATCAGATTACATGGAGGCCTGGGTCTCCGCCCATTGGAATGTGAAGTGAGGTTGCGGAGAGTGTGAGGCTGCGGGAGGAACAGTTATTGTATGTTGGCAGTGTACAATTATCTGATTGAGCCTTGATGGCGGTATCAATCCCCGCGCCGAGACCTTCAATGTTAAACATGCTTGGACGATAATATATAATCATAGCTTTCAAAATGGGGGCTGTTACCAGCCTACCCTCTCTGTCCTACATGCGCTTGCATTACTAGTATTCAGTGGTGAGATCGCTGTACCAATTATCTGAGCGTGATATTCCAATAATAATAGCCCAACCCCATCAATTGCCAATACTAGTCGGCTGTAAGGGTATCACATCTAGTTCACTATCGCCCATTGCCTTATAATTATTAGCCCCGCTAGAAAGCGGAGAGGAGAGCTTGTACGCAGATGACGAATATTTCGATCTGTTTTGCCGCCTTGGAGAGAACATAGTGCTCCATAACTGTTTCACGGACGGTGCGCACCCGACCATGATAGCAATAGTGCCTTCAATAACCCTGTTCAAGAATCGACGGGCGAATTAGTCACACTGCCATTGGTCACAGGAGAAAAGCTATATGGGAGCCTCTTACGCGCAGAGCATGGTAGAGAGAGTGTCCGATGTCGCTCCCTTGTATGCCCGATATTTGAAATAAAGTGACGCGATGGAGGCCGCAATCCCACTGTCGGAAGAAGATAATTAGCTGCTGCGTATATGCAAGGATTACCTCACGTACAGAATACCGCTGAAAAAGACCGCGCCCACGGCTAGCTTCTTCGCGGGTCGAAGGTGGAGCTGGTAGACGAGAGGCATGGGCAAGACAAAGATCAACACATCCTGGGCTAGAGCGATGAACCCAGAAATGACCCCCGTCAGGGTAGTGCCTGTGGTGCAGTATCCAAGGTCTTCGAGAGTCGCCGATTTGGCGTTAGGGTCACATCGCATGAAGGTGGGTGACATGGCGCAGATATAAGCCAAGCCTGAAATCGCAAGACTAGTATAGCAGACGTATTCGAGCCACTTTTTGATGCCAAAAAGTCGGACATAGACGAGCATAATCGGCGCTTTTGTTGTCCACAGCTCTAATGCGATAATGACCGTTATAACCACCGCAACCTGTTACGAGGTCAGTTATACACACGTCAATAATATATCGAAGCAGAATCTGACCCGATTCAACCAGTTTAATGATCCTAGCGGGTTGGCGAATCCTGAAGTATGAAATATGATTAATGCTCATCCTTTGCGACTTTGAAGTAAGATCGAAACACTCACTTTGAATGATAACGTGGTTCATGGCGAATGCAATTGTAACGAAAGCGAATCCAAGGATGGAGACATCTATACATCGGAATGCGTTAGCCAATATGTTTCATTTTTATCGGGCAGATATGGAAACTGTACAGTCCGCAATAAGAAGCTTTTTGTACACCCTGATGTTCATCGCGCATCTTATGCCCACGAAACCAGCGCAAGCGACAATCAGAGGCGTGCCGGCTGCTAGATAGGCGCCCGGCGACAAAGTACCTGGGGCAGTCATCCCAGCTTTTCCTTATTGATAATCGAAGAAATCCATGCCACAGATAAACGTAAAAAGAGAGAAAAAGAGGGAGGTGTAGGCGGTATAATATTGACTTCAAAACCTGCTACTGGAATCTGGACCAAATGAGCCTTATGGCATCTATAATTGGGGCTGGTTTTCGGACCTCGCTGCCAAGTAACTAGTTTGTCGGGAGAAGTGTCAGCTGGCAGCGAGTCTGCCACTGGAAAGACTATTATAGGAGTAGGGTAGTCCTGTGCATGGTCCTGCCGTCTCGACATCTTACATCCCGAAACATTTAGCCCCAGAATGTCCACGGGCCGGATCAATATGCATAACCCCTCTCATTCACACTGCGTGCACACCCCTGCTGTTTACCTGCAGAAGCTCGAGAGGCAACAACAATCCATGAATCAAATTTGTTGGTCACCAACCTTCGCTGCATTCTGATTAACCGAATTCTCATGACCCACAGCAAGGTCCAATCTGACGTTCCTCCAAAGTACGTGAAGAAGGGGCTGAATAATACAGAGACACATTGACCATGGTTACATTCGACAGAAGATTAACGCTAGGTCTTGGCGGCCACAAGTTGAATTAAACTGCAAGAAACCCGGGTACCCCGAGTATGGCCCATGCGGTGCATAACGGGATTTTTTTTTAAAAAAAAAGGAATGCGCGACCTTCATGGCGTGCTTTAGAATAAGACAAACACAGCAAAGCTCCGGACTCAGTTTCCCTGCAGAATGGGGCTACAAACCCCCTTATTCACTGCAAGGGGAGAACATCGCTTAGACGTTGTTGCGTAAGAGGAAGCCCCCGTGCTGCAACTTTTGGAATACTCCCTCGGGGTCGTACTTGGCTGCAACGTCCTGCAGCGTCTGGATATTTTCGGCCCCATAGCTGCCTAGAACCTTTTGAGAGGCTTGAGCAAAGCTCATGCACTGGTAGTCAAGCAAGAGTTGCCTTTCCTCGGCCAAACTCTGCACTTTTGCGAGCATCTTGTCCACTGCACCTTGCGCAGCGGTGTCGTCGCCATCCTCGGGCCATTCACACGTAAACACCCACCCTTTGAGTCAAGATTACGTTAGTTCTGGGAGTACAGTATGGTTCAGTAAGGACTTACAAGTCTGCGGGGTGCTCTGGTGTCCCATGATATTTCCCCCACGCTTCTTGCCTTCCTGGACACCAGCCGAGCCCATTGGCTGGATGGTATAGTGGAGAACATGATCAGCCGGAAGGGTATCGCGAACCTCAACCCAGTATTTGTACACTTCATCGTAGAGCTCTTGCGAAACCTGTGTGGTGGACGTGCAAATGGCTCGCCTATTATGTGTTAACGACGAGCTGAGCGCATCCTATATTCCACCTGCACTTACTTCTTGGTCTCCTGGACATGGCCCATAGCCTCAGCGAGCGATAGAACTGTTCCATTTGTGACGGGAAGAACCGTCATCAGCAGACTGTTGAGTTCGCGAAATTGCTGGAAGGCGCCAGGTGGCTCGGCGGGAGTGTCTCCATAAAGCATGCCCACCGCGACAAGGCCATTGTTGTAATTGGTAAACAGCCCAATTTTGGGATCGTCTTCCATAGCCTTTTGAACTGCCACCGTGGCTTTGTTGATCGCAACATAGTCGTCGAGGTTGTAAGCATTGATTGTATACTGAACGTTGATCAATGGGTGGGTCTCAAGGTCGAACCGCGTCACGATGCCTGTTCAATGGATTAGAAAGCTCGGGTCTGCTAAATATTGCAAGCTAGGTCAAGCTGAGAATAAAGGAATGCCACATACCGAAGTTGGAGCCACCACCCTTCAGGGCGCGGTGGAGATCAGCGTTCTCATCAGCGTTTGCATTAACCAGACTGCCGTCGGCCAACAAGATCTGAAGGTTTTTAGTTGTGAGCTTTGAGGGAAAGCAAAATCAAGGCACTCAAAGACCAAGCTTCACTCACTTCGAAGTTCTTCACGCCGTCTGCTCCAAGCCCATAGAGATTGGGCAACGCTCCCATGCCTCCTGTTGTCAATTGTTAGCGGTATGCCTCGGGGTGTACACTTTTCCAATGCCAATACATACCTCCCAGGAGGAAACCTCCCAGTCCGACCTGTCGGTCTCGGCCTCCAATGGCGGACAGGTTGTGCTCCTCGAGCCAGGCATACACCTCGCCCCAAGTGCTTCCCGAACCGACTCGAGCGACGCCATCCGATGTCAGCTCCTTGGACTGGAACTGACGGATGTCAAGCACAATCGTATCTCTGTCTGCACTACTGAATCCGGCATTGGGGTTGTGGCCGGTGGTGCGAACGGCGAACTTGGATCCTGTGCTTTTGACAATGTCCACCGCTTGAGTGAGCTCCTGGGAGTCTTTCACGTATACATAACCGGCCGCGGGGGTCCAGCAGGTTTGGGACCAAGGAACTGCCACAGCTTGCTGAAACTTCGCCTCCACGTCCGGGGTCACCAACTGATCAGCAAAGACAGTTCTCAACTTCTCAACTGCCGCCTCTATGCCGTGAGCCATTGTGAGTGAAAACGTTCGGTAGGTTTAACTTGAGGAATGAAATCTTGGCAGGTGCCTTTAAGAGAATCAAACGATTGTCACTGGCCTTTTTGTTTAACCGATCTCACATCCAGTCAACACCTGTCTACTTAAAAGAAACTGCCCGACATATGCGTTCGTTCTAGGCAGAACACTGCCCCTCCTATCTTACGATTCCCTTTTGCCCAGGCACAGCAAACAAAGAAATGCATTAATTACAGCTAGCGTCTTACGTGGGACCAGGGTTGCGCCGAGATCGCCCGGAAGTCGGGCGCCTAGACCAACTAGAAAGCCCCAACCCCTGCAGGGCGCAAGACCACCGGTAGCCACCCCCTCCCGGCGTTCTGCGGGTGTTGCCCGAGGAGGTTAGCCGGCAGGCGGGCGACGCAACCCTATCCGATAGCCTCACCAACACTAACACTAGCGCCGTGGGGTCCCAGACTTTTGAGGCATTCGTGGACCATCAGTTCGCTAATGAGTACCTTGCTCAAATATCGCAAATAAAAAACATCTTTTGGGGTTGGGAGATTCTTTTGTTGGTTTTCTTTGTCCATTCATTGGATACATTACAAAGATGACTGCGTCAGGGATTGGAATTCCGTGTCCCCGTATGTATATCTCTAACGTGTTGCGTTAACGGTCTCTCATGTTTCTCTCCTTCGAACCTCCGTTAGTAATTCATGGCAGACTAAATTAGTACCGTACTTTTTCAAAGGCTTTTCGACTTGGAGCACAGTCTCTACAAGAACCGATGAGGGGCATTACTGCCAGATACAGTACCCCCCACCGAGAACTTCCTGATAGGCATCCGTCGGGGCTCGCTAGGACATGGCTCGGCAAGAGAGATTGGCATCCTCCGGACTGCCATATAGAAGTGACCGACCCCTGACTGTCCGCGGACCCATGTTGGTTCTCCCCTCAATTGATCCCCAGCTGTCACCCTTGATTCGTCCGACAGCAGCATCATGCAACACCGAGCCAGTAATGTCGTCGCCCTTCTGGCGAATTCGTTCGATAACCCTTATAATGGCACCAGCTCCATGACTACAACAATTTACCATACAGCCTGGGTGTCCATGGTATCCAAAGCGGAGACTCGCGATGGAGTATCAAGGTCATTCTGGCTGTTTCCGGAATGCTTCGAGACTGTGTTGAAGAGCCAGTCTCCAGACGGGGGCTTTTGCGTCAACGGTACTCAGCTTGACAGCATCTTGAGTACAATGGCAGCTACTCTGGCGCTTTGCAAACATCAGAAATCTCAGTCTATCCTAGGCTGCCCGCAAAGCCCATCGGAGCTGCAGGGAAGAATTGAGAAAGCGCGCGCATATCTGGACCAAGCGCTGCACCGCTGGGATGTGGAGTCAACGGTGCAGGTTGGCTTTGAGATTCTCGTCCCCAGCCTGCTGCGAATGCTGCAGGGGGAAGGACTGAGCTGGAGCTTCCCTGCGCGCCGGGTCCTCATGAAACTTAACAGGCGAAAGCTCGACAAAATTCAGCCATCCATGCTTTACGCTAACAGTAGCACCACGTTGTTGCATTCTTTAGAGAGCTTCATTGGCATTGTGGACTTTGGCAAATTGACGCACCGTCTTGTCAACGGGGCCATGATGGGGTCGCCTTCGTCTACGGCTGCATATTTGATGCATTGCCCGCAGTGGGACGAAGAAGCAGAAAGATACCTACGATTTGTCGTACCTAGCCACAAGGGAGGCGTCCCTTCGGCCTTCCCAACCAGCGTATTCGAGTCTTCATGGGTATGTAGATGATTGCCTGTTTACATCTTCAATTCAGAGTAAAGATGCCAATACTCGTCGTGACCAGGTTCTCTCGACCTTGTTGGGTTCCGGCTTTACAGCCGATGCTCTCGGAGCAGAAAATGTTACGAAGATGGCAAATCATCTCCAGGCTCGCTTGGAAGAAAACGATGGAACCACCGGCTTTGGTAATAACCCTTTTCTGCCTTGCCTAGACTATCTGTGATCATTCATTGACCTCGGCTATAGCTCGTGGAATGCTTCCCGATGCGGATGACACTGCAAAGTCCATATACTCTCTAAGCCTTCTCGGTCGTTCACCGGATTGCGAAGCCATGATTCAAGCCTTCGAGGGACCTCAGCATTTCAGGACCTATAGTCTCGAGACAAAGGAGTCGTTCAGCGCTAATTGCAATGTTCTTATCGCGCTTCTCGCATCCAAAAATCCGTCGCAGCACGTGTCGCAAATTCAAAAAGCCATCAGGTTCCTTTGTACCACCTGGATTAATGGTAAATGGGGTGACAAATGGGTAAGTCCAGTACATTCAGCTGCGGTTGTGTTTGTGAGCTAACGTGGAAATCTATGTTCCGTAGAATATTGAGCCTCAATATGCCATGATGCTTTTTGCAGATAGTCTAGCAAAGACGATAGAGCAGTGGAATAGGGGTGCTCTAGATGGCATAGATTCCAAGCTACTGACAGACAATCTTCCTCTTGTCACACTACAGGTCCTCGTCCGTACTTTAAGTTCGCAGTCCAATTCCGGGTCGTGGAAGGAATCCGCAGAGATCACAGCCTACGGTCTTTTGACATTGAAGTCATTGGCCACCTTGCCATGGGTCAAGTTGGCCCTCGGATCAAAGGTAGAGGAGAGCATTGAGCTAGCTACAAGATACCTGAACCTCAATGAGCGCAGTTGGGCTACCCCTGAAGTGATCTGGGTCGAAAAGGTGAACTATGGCTCCGCCATTATCTCAGAGACATATTGTCTAGCTTCACTGAGGGTATCGTCTTCTGCGACCAGCTGGACAGTGAAAGTCTCCGATCTATGCAAAATTCCCGTGGATAAGCTGGATCGCTTCTGTGCGTTCTTTGGGCGACTACCAATCTTCGAAAAAGAGCCTTCATGGAGATTGCGGGCTTCAATCATCGAGGGCTATCTGCTCGCACCCGCCTTGCGACGTGCTGCAGTCGACATCAATATCTTTCCTCATCGAGAGACCAAATACCTCGATTATATCCCTCTCACATGGACAACCTGTAACAATGCGTCGGACTTTGGCCTCTCAACACAGACAATGGCCGAGATGTTGGTAATCTCACTGCTCAACTTTCAGGTTGACAAATGGTTGGAGGAAGTCACAGAAGATTCACGCCTCCAAGGGGATTTCGCGGCTCTCAAGACAGTCATTAAAGAGCTCAATTTCCAGGAAGCGATAGAATACAAGAAAGAAAAGCAGCCAAGCGACCATCAGAAGCAAGGTTGGCTGTCCAGTGCCTTCTCATATTTCAGAGGCAGTGGCACATCTACCGAAACAATGGACAGTCTTGCTCCTGGCCTCTCGGGGAGTGATGGCGAAAAAGCAGCTCTCCTGTATGAAGCTCGCAGCACACTCTCCGCCTTTATTAGGTTCGTGATGAACAAAGTATCAGTTGCATCGCCTCCAGACACTCTGCGCCGACGGGTATCGCATGAACTACGCACTTTTCTCCTAGCACACGTAACGCACGGAGAAGATAACACACATCTCAGCACACACTCCCAGAAAGCTGAGAAGCCTCCCGCATTCTCCCCCATGCAGACATATTACGAATGGGTGCGAACTACCTCAGCAGATCACACAAGCTGTCCCTATTCTTTTGAGTTTTTCCGGTGCCTCGTATCATCCTCGGCCTGTAATGGCGCCGATTGCTTCGCAGGGACTCGGACTCAGTACCTCGCTCAAGATGTCTGTCGTCATTTGGCCACAATGTGCCGACAGTATAATGACTACGGATCTATTGCCCGCGATCGCGAGGAGAACAACCTCAACAGTATCAATTTTCCGGAGTTCCAACAAGGTGAAGAGGAGATGGATGAATCTTGCAGCCAATGGGGCGACAATGCGAAGCGGTCGCTGTTCGATATTGCCAACTATGAACGTGAGTGCCTGGAGCTTGCTGTGAGACGGTTGCAACCTGAGATTACAGAGCCTGTTCGAAAGGCTTGGAAGGTTTTCCTTGACGTGACAGATCTCTACGGCCAGATTTACGTCGTCAAAGACATCAATTCTGGGTAGGTGCTTGTTGGCTAAGAGGAATGCTTGCCATCGGCGTCATCGGTCGCTTGCGGTTAAATCTTGGAATGGTTGATTCAGACGCTTTGTTGGGTTTATTGCTGGTATATACAGACTTCGTCGTTCTAACAGTGTCGGCCCTGAGATATATACTTATATGATGTTGTCGTACATATCCATTTGTCCCAGAAAATTACATGAATAAGCCCAATCTTTGACAAAACACCTAATATATATTTTTTTTCGCGCTCCAATGTAATGGTGACAATCTCCTATGATGAAAGAAAATCCACCTCTTTCGACAAACAGGGAAGCATGATTCACCGAGGATGTAACATCAAGATGATCATATCTCCGTCGCATTCGTCGCCAGAAACGTGTCCACAGGAGTGAGACCAGGGTCCTTGAATTTCCCGACCGCATCTTCTCCAGGAACCTCATTTGCCCATCGATGCGCTGCTGGAACCGGGCTTCCCTGCTTGATCATACCATCCACCTCCTCGTTCGACAAGTAATGCACCTTCACCTCCCTCCCAAGGGATCGGGTCAGTTTCCCAGCTAACTCTTCGACCGTAAGTGCCTCCACGGCGAGATCTATCTCCTGGTGAGTGTAGCCTTCCGGATCCGACACCACCTTCGCGACCACGATGCCCACGTCGGCCGCATCGACCCACGGAAGCTTCGTGTCCGGCCTCCACACAACCCGCAAGACCCTATCATCAACGAAACCAGGAAAAGTGAGGGCATTGACAGGAGCCTTCAAGTTCTGCAAAAAGTGGCCCAATCGTATAATGATCCAATGCTGGAACCCAGCCTCCCGGACCCGGGACTCCAGAGCGTGCTTGTTCAGCCAGTATTGTCGCATCGGATGCTCGGGCCCCCAGCCGGGAAAGGACTCGTGCTGGCCAGCTTTGATCGCTGTCGACACGATCATCGTGAACACGGTAGACGACGCGCGCGCCGCGTCGATGACATTCGTGCTGCGTTGCAGGTCCCCGGCCCAGTCTCCGGTTTGCACTTCGGTGTGGAACACGGCATCTATCCCTTCCGTGGCGGAACGCAGAGCATTGATATCGCCCAGGTCGCCTTTTATGAGCTTCGCTCCGAGTCTCTCGAGCTGAGTCGCTGCGGGTGTGGTCGGGTCGCGGACGTAGGCGTATACGTGGTGTCCTGCGGCGAGGCTGCGGTGCACGACGCCTCTTCCTTGATTGCCAGTGGCGCAGGTGACAAGAATTCGCTTTGGTGGGAGCATATTTCTGTTCTGTTTGGTTGATAGGCTGCAATAGGGTGTGGGATGAGGAAAATGAATGAGACGAGGGGAGAATTGCCCCTCTTCCTCCCCTCCCAACATCCTAGGCTACTTTATTAGGTCAGCACTAAGTCTCGCTACTACTATATACGAATCATGGACTGTACAGAGATAATTTTCGGTCCACTTATGAAAGTGTTATTTCTAAACCTTGGTCTTGATCAGCTACAATGACGCATGCAATCTACGTGGAACACCTATATACAATGCAGTATGCAGCACCTGCTTAGACTGGCGTTTCAATAAGGGGCTTCAACTGGTTCATTGTATTTTGATCGATTGATTGATTGATATAAATGAGCTAGTTGGCTATTGAAGCATTCAACTATCAAAGTATGTTCTAAATCCGAGTGCTTGCAGCGCCGTGCCCGTATTCCACGATCTTGAAGTTTGCATCACCGTTGAAGTAGATAGTGGCGCCCAAGGGAACCCGGTCATTCTCAATAAACAGCTCTTTCTGCGGACCCCTCAAGACACTGATCACACCGAATCCTTCTTTCCGTGTCCACAGAGGGAAAACGGCCATGCATTGGCCTTTCCCACAGAGTTGGGGCGCGAGTGTTTTCTTGGTCGCCGGACCGACCCAGGTCTACAATGTGGTCAGCATCAGTTCTCTGTATTAATCTGTCTGGATGACGGGTGAAATGGACGTACCGACGAACTAAAGTCCAGTCGGGGACCGGTCGCAGATGCATTCAGCCCAACCCCGGTGAGCACTCGATTGGGGCGGTACTTCGATATATTCAGGGTAATTTCCTCGCTGTATTTATTAATGACCCAGACGCACGGCGGCACACGTTGGGCGGTTCTAATAATTGCACCAAGCAAGCCCTGCAGTGAACGAGAGAATGAGTATGGACGGGATCAGAAAAGAGAGCGGTTGTTTAACCTTTGCCATTGTGGTTGGCGGACTGAACGGAAGCTCATTCCAGCCAGGTACATGCTCGACGTCGAGTATGCTCGCCGCGGGAATTGGCTCCTCGTTGCATGTTATGCATGAGAATGGATATCCGTTGCTCTGTTGAGCGTTAGTAATCTTGTGAACTTCGTCCTTTTGGTCCGCTGGATGCATCTTTAATGGTAAATGCACGACATCGTATTGAATTTTCGTCGTGCTGATCGCTCTTGCGACGTCTCGGCCGGTCGCGTGCTCGATGTTTACGGAGTCGGCAAGATACCGGACATCCATTGGCGAATTGGTAATCATTAGCAGGAACTGTTCATCAATGGGGAGCTTTTTAGAAACCTCCTTCGGCCATGTGAGCTCCAATCAATCAATCAATCAATCAATCAATCAAAATTCTATTAACCTGATGAAGCCTATCTATTGAAACGACAGGCTATGCAGACGTTTCGCCGAATGAAGCAGAATCTCGAGCCCTTACGCCATATAAACCCACAAACGCAGTAGATAAATTATAAAGTAACGCAACTGAATCGGCTGCCACTCGCCTGCTGCAGTTTACGTTTTCTGACGCTATCTTTCCTTCTGCCTCGTTCTATATAGGTAGTTCGTAAGTAGTATGCGTCACTGGTAGCGGTCTAATCCAGGCCGCCCTCTAAAGTTCTATATAACTATCGTCTTTCTCGCCTAGTTCGAGTCCTTCTAGCAGATTGGTAAATTCTGGAGTCTCCTCGTCCTCTTCATCCAGTCGAGCGAATCGGAATTGTTAAAGAAAGCCTGTTTATTGCATAAATTTGGCGATATAGCGGATCGCCTGCGGGTGTACTATAATTGTATCGTAATCCTGTATATGTTTACGCAGTCTCTCTATCTGATTGAAATAATCTATTATTATTTTCCAGCCGGCCGTATATAGCGAGCATTTCAGAAAGACGTACCTAAGGGTCTGAAACCTTAGGTTACAGACGTACCGGTCAGAGTCGACCTGTTTGATCTTATAGAAAAAATGCCTTAATTCTATCCTTATAGTGCGCATCTGAATGATAATCGAGATATGCGGCTTACAGAGATGCTCGTAAAGCTGTAAATTCTTTTTGTTTAATTTAGGTAGTAGCTGCCTTGTTAGTCTACTTATTTTCTGCCTTTTTCATTGCTCTATTCACTCTGTACGCAAACGTTAGCAGATATCTTTTTTAGCTGCAGCTGCAAGCCGTATAATTAGTAGATCTTGCAGCTTTACTGAATTTAATTTAATTCCTTTTATTGCAGTTTTTTTGGCTGCTTTATCCGTCTTTTCGTTTCCTTTTACCCCGATGTGAGCGGGAATCTAGCGTAATTCAGTATCCTTTAAGTTTTCGTTCTGCAGGATCCTAATCCTCTTATAAATAACCTGTAATGCGTATTGGCCCAATGGCCGACCGGGGTTGCGTACAGCTTGAATAGCTGCTTAGCTATCTGAGAAAACTGTAATCGGGATAGGCTTCGCCCGATCTAAGGCCATTCGGGTTTCTTTTAATTCCCTAACGTAGACCGTAGAGTCCAGTTCCGTTTTTAGATATTTTCTAGCGATTTTACCTACTCGAATAAAGACTGCGGCAGCTCCGATTATTTCCTAATAGTCGTTTCTATCTGTATACCAGATCTGCCGGTCTTTGCAGCAGATTCTATTGTAAGTCTAGACTGCTTCCTCTACCCCCTCAATGATGTACCTGAGGGGCAATTCCCACGGAACCAATACATGAACCCGTCTGGTCTCCTATATTTCCTGCCTGTTACCGTATCCATATAGCGGGCCTGTTTTCTTTCACTTCAGCGCCTTTATCGGAAAGTATCTAGAGACCTTAAATGTCTCTTTCGACCTTTTCCAGCGGAAGCCTTAAGGGCAGGTTATAGCTGGTCCGGTTTGGATCTAAATGGCTGCCTTTTAAATAATTTGTTATATCTGTATTTATATAGGAGAGAAATAGAGCTCTATCTTTAGTGCAGCTAAAACCGTGTTACAAAACGCGTTATTGATAAGAATAGTTGCGCGGGTTTAAATTCTCTGAAATTTATTAACTGTTTTCTGGAGCTTCTTGTAGTTAGCTATCTGGTTTGTAAGGCTATACTAGGCTGCCGCCTTATAAAGTAGCTGAGGGACTACTACTGCTAGGTAGATGCAGCGCATGTTCAGCAGGGAGGTCCCTCAGGTCAAGCCTAAGATATTGCGGAAGGTTTCCAAGGTTCTGTTCGCCTTAGCAAGGGCCTTGGCCCTGTGAGTGTCAAACGAAAGGGTCCTATCGAGCTAGATTTCTAGATATTTGGTGTACTTTACTGGCTTGATGATAGAGCCGGTTGCGTGGTCCTTAATAGGTAACTGGTCGTGACCAAAGGGTTCTATTGGAGAATCCTAGTTATCAATCTCTGGGTTCTCTCTCTGCCGCAGCTCAGTATATATATATTCTTGCGGTATAGGTCGTTTTACCGCAGGGTTAGAGCGAAACGGGTTTTTAAAATGAATGAGTTTGAACTTATCGGAGGCAAATTTAGACGAATGCTGCCTTAACCATACTGCGGCCTTATCTAGGGCCCTCTCTAGAAGATGCTAGTTAACCGCGTAGCTATCCGAGATAGCCAGGGTAGCGACATCGTCAATCCACCTGTAGGAAACTGTCTTGCTTCCTTTCAGGAGAGGTAGCTGAATCCGAAGGGCCTCGGTACTGTCAATCGATAGAACGCGAATGAGGAAGGTATTGAATAGAAAGAATAAGATCGGCAATATAGGGGACCCCTAGGGGATCCCGGTAGGGATTAAAATAAAGTTGCTGAAATATCCGGAAAGCTGCAACCTTATCGATCAGTTCGATAAAAAGGATTTAAACTAGCCGGCAAAAAAATTGAGCCTTATTATATATAGATTGTAGAAGAACCGTATATGCGAGACGTTATCAAAAATGCCAGTTACGTTTAGGAGTAATATACTGACTTTCCGGCCTTTACCCCAGTTTTCAAAGATCTGGTCAAGAAGTAACTGGATCAGGTAATCGATTGAGATATTCCTGCGGCCCCCTAGATAGCTCCTAAATAGAAGATTACGTTTCTCTAGGGCCCAGACAATCTGTACTGTAATTACGGCCTCCAGGATCTTACCGAGGGTATTCAGGAGCGCTATAGGTCGGTAGAATTTGGCAATATAATAATTCCGGAAAACTGTTTTACGCAGTACTACAGTAGTCAATTGCTAAAAATATTCCGGGTTATATCCAAAACGTAGGCACGCGTTAAATATTTGCGTTAATACCGCGAGAAAAGAAGAGACCTCATTTAATCAGTGCTAAACCTTGTTAGGGATGCTATCCGGCCTTAGTATTTTATCGGGAGGCGCCTGTCTAATGCAACAGAGTACTTTATGCTCGGTAAGATCCGGAAAATCAATCTAAAAGAGTATTCGAGCCGTAAGGATATCAAAGAGATCGGCCAGAGATAATTTAGAAAAGAAAGCTTTGCGGAATGCCTTTACTTTTTGTTCTGCGGTCTCTGCGAGCCTGCTATCTGTCTTTAACGTTAATATAAGACTTTCGCGGGCTTCTTTGCTTCTTGTTTACTTAGCCGCCTTCTACATGCCTCAAGGGCCTGATTCGGTAGCTTTGCGGACCCAGAAACGGTAGCCCTGGCGCAGTACCTTAATCAATACCTTTCTTTTACAGTTTCTAACTTTGGTATAGCGCTCCTATCGGAGGCCTATAGTAGGATCAATAAGGCTATTTGTAATAACTGATTCTGTATACTTATGCCGGAACTTCCGGGTAATCTTGATCATTTTGTGGCATTCCGCATTGAATGAAAGGTTCGCCCACTTGTTAGACTTCGCCCACGGGGTAGAGGTAGCGATTCCTTAATTAATCGTTTCGATAAAATATTCTATAGCGAACTTAATATGTTACTTTGTTTACAAGGGAAAGGCCTTGCTCTGTAGGTTAAGATCTACAAAACTTTGCAGGTCTTTAATATTGCAGATTTTCCAATTTCTTTTTCGCTGTATCTCGGGGGTTTTAGTACTGATATCAAAAAGGGTTCGTATTAGATAGTAATCCAAATCTGCGTAGTTTCGCTCGTTAATCTCGCAGGTAACGAGCCTAGGGGTCAGGTCTTACGAGCCGAAAACCAGATCGATAGTGGTCTTGCTTCCGTTACGCTCTTACGTAGTAGTACCTGGCTCCAGCTAGAGATCTAGGTATCTCGTATCTATCAGTTCCAGTAACTGGTTAAACGAGAAGTCTCTTTTAGAGCGTTTTCCTTCTTATGCCGGGTAGTAGAAATTAAAGTTACCTAGTAGGAACAAATGGGGATTAGTAAGGCTGTTAGTAAGACTGGCAAAAGTAATTAGAAAGATAATAAGGTCAAGGGTAATACTATCTATTTCGTTAAATCGATTATATATATTGAAAATGCGCATTTGTTAGCCGTTAGTATCAATAAGTTTAAGCTTTTAAACATCTTTCAAATGCACTATATGTTTCCAGATATTAAGATCAATTTAGCATAATATATAGAGGTATACGCGGGCCCGCTCGTTTCCTATCTCGGTTAAATCCAGGTATAGGAACTGATGGGAGCCATTAACAGGATAGTAAGTAGTATCCTGATAGGGATTCTTCTAAGGTTTTTGCACAAAGATAAAGTCAGCCTCTAGGATCGCAAGATCCCGAAAAAACTGTACTATTACTCTATCCTTTGATCGATTTACATTGTATTGAAGTACGTATAGGGGTCTATTTATAGTAACAATCCTTAATATGTTTCCTTAATACTAAACGGTTAGGCGTATTATCTTCGGCTAAAACAATCGTAATCGAATGTTTTAAAGAAATAGATATAGGGATAAAAGGTATTTCCGGCAATTTCGAGAGGGCAGTCACTACATTATCGCTAAAAGTATCGCTAGTTAATATTAGTTATTTTCGGTAGGTTAATTACTTGCTTTAAGCCCTTTTCGCTGGTAAAGTGTCTCCTGTAACAGGCAAACTAATAAAACAAACGGTTTCCTGCGTTACTTGATATCTAGTATGCCGCCTTGTTATCTCCGAGGAGATAATGCTGCGGGAGCGCCTTTTATTTAGAATATAATTTCTAGAAACAGGGGTCACTGATGCAGGCGTCTTTAGTTCGTTAATTATATTGATTTGTTAGGCAATTGACGGTTCTGACTCGGACAGGATAGGGTTTACGTTCATTTCCGGGTTTAGATCTATTAGGGCTTCTTTATGCTGCACAGGAACAAGTTCCTGTAAACTATATAACAGTATAGATCTTTTTTGAAATCTTACTGTAAAACGATTTTGCTCTATTGACCGGCTAATTGACCGGGTCAATCTCTCTTTTCTTTTCTTAGATCCTGTAGCCTGCCCCTTGCTGTTGGGCGGACTAGAGATTTCCGTATTATTACTTACGGAAAAATAATCCTATAGATAGGGCAAAATGCAATATAGAGGTTACTGATATTAAATTGCAGCTTGTACCCGCTCCTGTTTTACTATATATCTTGTGCAAGCTCTTGACTAGGCGGCGTGCATTTTACCGTATTTAGTATATTTGTGCCTCTGGCTATCGGTAGTAAACTTCTGTACGTAAGATTAGGTCTCGTAGTTTTCGGTACAGAGGCCGCAAATTATTTTATTCGAATAAACGATTTCTATATATCTATATTATTGATATTTAAAGTATTGCCGAATCCGCGCGTTTCTATCATATAGAACAGTTATCCAGTTATCGCTAGCCTAAATAGTTCCTTTTATGATTGTCTCATTTGCATGTCTCGGGTCAGAGTATTCGATAATAAAAACGGAAGATTTCTGATTCTTATAATTGGAAAAATAAGTAAGCCAGGTTACGCGTCTGATATTAGGTTTCTAGCTTCAAACTTTTTTGTTTTTGTTAAGTAGCTCGCTGGTTATTCGGTCCTGTTCGCCTTAATCACTTAGGTCCTGAATTGATTTAATCGGGATACTATAAACTATTACGCCTCACGTAGGGTGCCGCAGGGTAGCCCCGTTTAACATAAAATCTGTTCATTTGTTGTAGATCCTGGCAGTTTCGGCCTTTGTAACAATATATAAGGCCAAGTTTAAATCTCCCGAGCGTAATTGCCGAGCGGAAACGAATTGGGTTCTCGCCAAAAAAAATGCAGAAATTACTATTGCAGCCTTTTTCTTTACATTTTTTGCTTTTTCCTTTATCTCTGCCGATAATTTCTTTTGGTAGGTCTTCTAGATACTAATATCTTGCAGTTTAATAATTATTTCGCGATCCTTGCTGAGCTCCGACGGGGTGGCCGGGGCGGTACTAGAGAAACCGTAAAAGGAAATCGTATAGGTTAGAGGAAACGCATTTCTGACTACAGAAGCCCAGGAATGGTAACTCTGGTTTCAAATGCTTAACTGAATGTTATAGGTATGTTATTAGACATTCTGAAAGGTCTGCTTGATCGAGGCTAGCTCAGGTCCTAGATAGGTATTCCTATCGAGAATATCGGTTACTTGATATTGCATATATCCGCAGTAAATAATTACTTACTCAAAAAAGTTAATAACAGGCTTTGGGAGCTGTTTTCCGGTTTGCTTATTGTGCGAAATAAACGATTTCGCGTTAGCGTAGAGGTTCAGTACGCAAGTAAAAAAATTCTGATTTAAAGAATTTGCTGTCTCGGGAATCCCTGAAAAAGCCGGCTACGGGGTTTTCGCTCTAACCATTTCGAAATCCCCTACGGAAATAGGATTATTCGATAGCGGTTGGAATTATTGGCAAACTGATCGGTTCTGGAGGCCGTAGCCGTCGTGGTAGTTAAGTAATTTCAAAAATTTGATTCGCGTCGAAGTTGTTGTTTTCATGTGAGCTCCAATCCCACGTGCTCTCCGAAGTCATCGCTCCCGAGGACGATTGAACGGTCCGGCGGAAGCTCGACACCCTCTGGGTTAGTTTGAGTGATGAATGAGACCTCTCCTGCCACATGTCGAACACGGACATATAGACAAGCTCTGGTCCTTTGTTGTGCAATTTGACGTAGGCAAACTCTTTCTCAACGATTGGATAGTCTTCCCCGCCGACTTGCGATGCTCGTTTGGGTTGTTCATCCTCGACGACTCCGATTTCGTAGTACAACTTATGATCAAGCCTATCGGCAGGTTTGTCGCATTTTAATGAGAGGACTCGCTGGGCTCGGACAAGCCTCTCAGTCGTGACAATGAGGTCCTTGCCTCGGAGTGAATGCTCTTCCTCACTCAGTGGACTCGACCCGAGCTCCACACCTTGCTTATTAAGAAGCATGATTGATGCTTCCTCCTGACGGAATTTAAGAAGGGGCGGCTCATTGTCACCGGCCGTATGACATCGGAGTAAGGTCGATTCTTCGACCTGCGTTTGTAGAGAGGGGAGTGATTCGGGGACTTGAATTGGGTGCTTGTCGATACTTTCTCGTTTCAGCACAGCCAGCGCGCCAACGTTACTGAGCGACAGCCAGGAAGGCATCGAGGTCAGTTTGACCTTTGCCTTGAACGCCGCAACATTCGTCAGCTTTCTTCGGGGAAGTCATCGCCGGACACTTTCTGATCGTTCATGCTCAGGGAAACAATAGTGTATGTGTTACCGATCCGAACCCCAAGCACACTTCCTCCTTGGATAATAAGCTGACCATTGACAATCTTGATCTGCAATACGCAAGACGGTGCCCGGCGGAGAGAGAAAGGAACGCGTGTCTCCGGACCTTCCACCTGAGGATGTTAGCCCGGGAACCGGTTATTGACGAGCTGACGGACGCGCAGAAAGATCGTCTTCCAGGACATTTCGTGGCCCCAGCAGTCTTCAATCACCTTTACCAGAGCCTCAGTGTAGGTGCCGCACCACTCTCCCCGTGGGTTCATATACTCCCAGGCAGACTCGGACGGAGCTGTAGCCACAATTCGCACGGCATGGGGATTGCCCGTCAGAAATGTCTGTCCCTCGAGCTGGCCCTGTCCCTGCATAGCAGTGATATGCTGTGCAACCTAATGAAACTGAACATCTTTGAGGCTCTTCTGGCGCGCTTGACCCTCGAGCATCGGGGCACGGAACATCCGCCCAGAATAGCAGCAGTCGAGAATAACGGTAACGTTGCGAGTTCTCTCGTTTAACTGTCGCAGGACATGGGAAATCTCGACGTCTAAGATCCCGCGAAAATCATCCTCGGTCGATTGATTGTAGTCTACCGGTACGAGAAACTGATACCTCCAGGGCCTAGTATCGTCATCCGTTTCAACGGACTTGTCACCTTGAGGTGACTGGACCAGACCACCGTCACCTGAGTAGTAGAGAACTACAGCATCATCCTCCGTTGTCTCAAAGATTAGTCTCTCCCAAGCCTGGAAAATACCGCTACGAGTTGCGTCTTCCCCAAAGCAGGTTTCGGCAACGAACCCTTTGCTTTCCAGCACCCGAAGAATACTTTGTGCGTCATATAGAGTCCCGTTGAGGCCCTCAAAGGGGGCTTCAATTAGCAAGGCCCTTTGAGTAGATGACATGTCGTTGAAAATTTCCCTGAATGGAATATAGAGACCGGTCGGATTCGAGTGATATCGCAAGGCTGTCTCAGCTTCGTCCCTTCACGTTTAGAATATAGAGTAATTAAAAATATAGAAAACCGATGCGGCCACCAGTTCCTCTCCCATAACTGGTTCTGAGTTTTCGTCTGGAGCCTCCTCGAAGGGAAATACTGTATTATATCAGTCTAAAGTATATCGCTGGACTACTTTCACTTTGTTAACCCTATATCTAACAAGAGATATAGGATCCCAACACTGATGCCCCGGTTTCTTCTCTAAAAACAGTTTCTGAGTCATCCTATATTTTAAAGGAAAAAACAGCTTCGTCGTCGTCCTCTGACCTCTTTTCTGCGACTAGTGTGTCGGATCAGTCCAAAGTATGTCACTAAACTGATTTTACTTTGTTAACTTTACGTTTAACAGGAGATATAGGATCCCAATGCTGACGCCTCAGTTTCTCTAAAGAAGGGGGACTTACCCGAACCCAAAAAAGCAAAGAAAGGTAGGGTCGAAACCCTTAGATGTCTAAAATATTGTTAACGCAGGTTTCAGGCAGACCAAAGTGCCCAAAACCAGGGTACAGTAATTTAATGTACAAAGGTAAATGTAAACTGTACTGCAAGCGATACAGATATCGGTACCTACGAGAAACGTATATCAGATCTCAGTAACATGAAAACGTTATCAAGCATTATCATTTCTATTGCTGATCCTACTTGGCTGATTCTCTAGGGCAGAGATGGCCGCGCTATTCTCTAATCCAAAGAATTCTTTGCGATAGTACTTGAGATAGCCGGTAAAATGAGTCAGTAAGATCGCATATAGTTAGTTACATATAGTTTACAGATCAGAATCTGATATTCACAAACATAGAGAAATTGGTCTAATTTCGAATGTTACGCTCGTTGCACACAGTAAGGTATGAGTAATAGAAAGAGTAATTAAATGTAAAATAGAAGGTTAAACGCGAATGCATTTTCGCGCTCTATCTTTGCTTTTTCTGATTGTTGGTAGCATAACAGCTAACACGAGGTGTAGCAATTACAGCTTGGGAAGTCACAATATAAAATGTAGGGCGATTCCGACCCATCGATGGTCCGGACAGATTAGTTAGGTCGGCCCACGACTGAATTAGAGCATTATGGATTAGGCCCGTCTCCTTTTTATTCACACAGCCAGAGCATTAGGGTGAACGGTCACAGTTTCTCAGGGTTGCCTAAGCAGCGACTTAGGGCGGCGGGGTGATCTGTTCCGTTTTCTTGCTTAGGGAGCTAAAAAGACACCACCAGGAAAACAAGAGGAAACAGAGAGGAAAGATCTGGCCACCTCATCATCTGGTGTGAACGGTAGAGGATAAAATCCGTCCTCGCCCCCAATCCATCTCTCCTTTTCTCTCTATCCTCATCCTCTTCATGCTTTTCGCCACCGTATCGTTCCCCTCCGTGGCCCACAATTTGGCCCCACGACTGGTGGCACTTCGGGCATCGCTTGGAAAACTTGCCGCGCTTCTGTCAAGGGATCATTATCATCACCATCATCATCATCGCCTTTGTGCATCTTCGTCCGTCTGCTATCAGTGCGACCGTTCACAATGGATGCCAGTCGCCCGCCATCGCAACGCAATCGGTAAGACACCACGATCCTCGGGAATGGGCCTCGCTAATACTTCGCAGCCCCCTTTCCCAGCTGCCCCAGGACTGCTTAGTGAGTATCCTGGACCATCTCAGCTTGGATGATGCCTTGTCATTGTCGACCAGCTGCAACGACCTGCAGGCGTCGTCCACGCCGTTTGTTCTGCGGGATCTCAGGATAGACTGGACCAGCAGACCCCGACGGCTGGTGTTGCAGCTGCTGCAGATCATCTTCAAGGATCCTAAAAGCGCATCGTATGTTCAGCATGTGAGCATGATGGCGTCCGGCTACCCGTGGGAGGACACGGACCCAGTAGACTGGGAAAGCGATCGGCGCGATTTCAAGGACGTGCCGGACCAGGCGATAGACCTGGTGCGACGAGCCGGTGTCCCAAATATCGATGATTGGCATCTGGGTATCTACGGAGGAAATATCTATACATTAGCTACAGTGTTCCTCTCGCAGCTATCAAATATCAAGTCCCTGCGCCTGGATTATTCGTTTGTCTGGTGGGACGGATTTCCTGGTATTATGCTAAAGCAGGCCTTACTACATCCTAACGGGGTATTTTCAACATTTGAGCAGCTGGAATGGGTCGAGTACGGTGCGAACGTCCCTATTGCGGAGACCGAGTACCCCGATGATGACGAGGTACCTGACGGATACCCTGCATATAACTCGCGCCAATTCATGGCCTGGTTCTGCCTGCCCTCGCTACGTTATTTGAATATCTGGCTGCGGGATATCGAAGGCCTCGAGGAAGCTAAGCCGGACCTAGATCTCAGCAATTTGGAAACGCTCGTTATGGCAAGGGCAACTGCCACAGAAAATCATATGTATTACCTTCTCTCACGAGCGCTGAACCTCAAAGCCCTCCACGTCGCACTAGCCTTCGCATGGAGAGGCGAGCCAATTCTGGCGGATGGTCCTATCTTCGCGCAGGCATTAGAGGCTATCAGCCCGACGTTGGAGAAGCTCTCTCTGGGAGTGGAATACTACCCAGGTACCCTCGGCGATCACGAGTGGAACGAAGCGGATGACGAGGCCTTCGACCCGTTCCACCAGTTCTTTACCGGCTTTACAAACCTCCAAGAGGCCGAGATTCCGCTGGCCATGCTTCTGGGATGGTATTCGGACGAGTCAGCCGAGCTTGGCCCCCTTCTGCCCGAATCGCTCACGCATCTATGCCTACGAGACGACTTAACCGGCTTTTATGATTACGACTGGACGGAAGATCGGGCGATCCTGCTGCTAGAGTCCTTTCTCCGAGATAGAAACTGGAAGGAGTATACGCCATCCCTGCAGCGGATTACGTTGCGTCTTTGGGATCAGAATTATACCGGTTTTAGACGGGACCAAGAGGATCGGTTGAGAGGGGTGGCTGAAAACGCCGGAATTGAATTGAGCGTGGTGGTGGATGATCTCGGTACAGGCTTGTGGGCTTTGAATCCATCTTCAGTTTGACATCGGCGTTTATGCAGTTTGCAGTTTCTGTCTCGATTTTCCTTTCTTGTTTTCGGTTTCCTATCGCGTGGCATTTGAAGCATTATACGAGTCTATTCCGGTTAGAAAACTAGGTCGTGCATATCAACGGCATGTAAATAGCATATCATTAATCACATTGAGCCCTGTAAGCTGGCAGGAGACCACGCTTTGACGGGGAGTTTATCACATCATATAGGGAGATTCGAATCATGAAGCTAAATTATGGGCCTGGGAGGATTTGGAACATGGATAAATGAATTACTAATTTTCACCAAATACCAGACGAGTCTGAGCACATAGATACTCATTTCATTATAGATTGATCTGACTTGATATATCTACAAATCCAATCAAATCCTATATAATACCCTAGAACCTACTACCAAGTCTTTTATTCCCATAACTCGGCGTAACTTTCGTTTAGGTATTTACTTTCCTCCCTTCCTTCCTCCCTTCTTCGTGTCCTTCTTGGGGTCCTTCTTGGTATCCTTCGGCGGCTGGGCAGGCTGCTTGGGAGGTTGAGCCGGCTGCTTAGGATTCTTAGGCTTAGTAGCGGGACCAGGCTGGCCGTTGTTGTTCTGAGGAGGTCTGGTAGTCTTCTTGATGGTGGGCGAGGGCAAATCCGCCTGTGCGGACTTGAACTGCGGGAATGCCTTATCGGCAACATCAATAGCCTTCGTCTTGGCGGGAACAACATTGAAGTTCATGCCCTGGGGACCGGTAAAGGCGCCACAACCCCAGCTAAGACCGCAGGCGTCGTCGTCGTCCAGAGTGTGGCCCTGCTCGCAGGGGGCGCGGATCTTGCCGACGCCGTTCTGGACACTCCACGCGACAATGGTAGGCTGGGGCTTCTTGTTCTTAAGCGTCTCGGTCTTGTGCACCATGCGGTAACGCAGGGAAGCCATAACCTCACCGCAGTTGGCGTCGTTCTTATGCTGGAAGGTCGTCTGACGGTTTGACTTAAGTTCCTGTGACGTTTTGCCGGGGTCGGTTCTGGAGGAGCTCTTGCCGTCGTTCTGGTTAGCCTTGCCGCCATTGTTGGAGGTACGAGAAGGCTGCTGAGAGTTGGACTGGGGGTTCTTGTGGTCGAGCTCACGCGACTTCTTACGCAAAGCGTCCAGGGCATCCTTGACGTCGGGGGCGTTCTGCTGCAGCACGTCGGTAAAAGCGCCGTAGCCGTTCTCGACGACGTCCTCGTCCTTGTTGGGCTTGTTGGCGAGAGGCTGTTCCTGCATGTTGTAGATGTAGACACCGCCGCCGCCCTTCATGTTGGAGGACAGGAAGACCTCGTTGTCGACCTTGATGGCGGTCATGACGTTGGGAAGGTCCCTCTTGTTGGGCTCTATGTTGTACATTTCCTCGTAGGCGGCCTTGGCGAGGCCGGCAAGGTGTTCTTTCTCAATCTTGGCATTCTTGTCGAAGGTCAGGTAAGAGCCGAATGCGGTCCATGGCTGCCTGGTTCCAGACTGGATAGTCTGTTTCTTGAGTCCGAGGGATGGCGCGGGCGTGCGCTGCTCCAGAGCAACCGGAGAAGCGACGACCAGGCTCAGGAAGAAAGCAAATAGCAAATAGCAAACTTTGGGAATCATCTTGGCGACGGCCTATGTCAGCAGGCAGTGACTAGATGAAAGACAGTATTATGAATGAAGACTAAACGAATGATCGAAAGATCAATAAAAAGAAACAAACAGAAAACGAAAGAGTGACTGATGATTCCAAAGAATGACTGGTGTGGAAAAAGAACCCTATCCTTGACAGAGAGACAGCACTACTTATACTTAATTCGCATCTTTCGAGTCCATACTAAAGTTCCATCCCACACAGAGTCGGTAAGCCGGGTTTAGGGGGCCGTTGGCCCCTGGGCAAGAACGAACGAGGACAATCAGGGGTCTTGGAGGCGTCAGACAAGTAGAGCTGCTGATGAAACGCGTTTCAGCCCTTGCCTAAGCCGCACTCCTGCTCCGCTAACAAGACCCTGAGTTCGCTACGAACCACCACTGCAATGAGAGATTTTCACATTTGGCCCTTAGCAATGGGGCCATGACTGATTTGACTAGGCCAACCCTCTCGTTTACTCTTACTTTTGTCGATGCAGTGCTAGACCAGGCGGGCCTCGAACCCTAGATTGCAGCAAGTCTTGCATGTCCGTAGTCCGTACATATGACCGAGTCAGCACCGGCTGCGTACGGAATGATTGGAAGACTCAATTATTCGACTCATAGTGAGACGACTGATAATGGGTCTGCTGGTGTTGCTCACGTATTCTTGGTGTGAGCCTCGTGCTCTTGCCTGGGGATATTTTGACATTTACTTGGCAGTGATAGTTAGATGCGTATAGCACACTACAAAGCGCTTAGGTCAGCGAATACTGAGAGCAACAATTGATAGGCAGATTTTGCGGGCATCAGGGGAATTTTCGAACTATACGATGCAGTAAGCTTAGCAAAGGATTAGCTAGGCGAAGATTTATGTCCTAAGAACAGTTAGACTCTGGTGTCGCGTATGACACCCGGATGCTTACGGCGCAGGGGTCGGTTATAATCTTTTTGGCGTTCCTTTCCCAGTACTTACAACTGTCAGTTTGTTTCTGAGAACCACCATTCCCGCATGTGTCGAGCCAGATTGCATAGACTTTGGAGACATGATAATATAGCTGTCGAATTAGGTACCCAGCAATATTAAAATACCGGGAGAATTCAGAATAATATTGTGTTTTGTCATTTATACATCTCTACTACCATGAAGCATGGGACATACCTAGTAAGTGCAGGAGAGATACAAAGGTTCGCATGAAGGTGCCAAGGATCTGGTTTTCCTTACTTTCAGCCCCAAGCCAAAGCACCAACATCCGCGATGTAAATATTTGTCTTGTAGCAAAGATGAGAATATGACAAATACGCCCGAGCAATCAATTCCCTACTATTCAGCCCAATCGAAGAGAGTATGCAGCAGCCTTTCCCGAGGTTGTGAAATACACTCTATCTCCCCAGAATCAAACGTTGGTACTCTTTCGATCTTAAGCCATTCCCCCGAAGGCCGGATGCTAGAGGCATCCGTATCCTGCACTCGCCAATGCTGAGTCGGCCGGAAATGTTAGTTAACGTAATCAACCACCGAGTCGGCACCTTTTAGTGCAATCACGAAAATTTTGAAGTTTTTCGTGGGCCGTCTCTCTAGGCGTAATTGCTAGTAATGTACACTTAGGAATATCGAATGATGAAGGTCTGCTTCTTTCAATCTAGCTGCGAACGGTGGTTTAAATACATGAAGAATAATAAGCAATCTAGCCTAAAAAGGCGGCTAGAAGAGACATAACTTTTGAACCATGGAAATAACAGAAAAATCTGCATAATCCTCGGGGATCGGTAGTTACCAATACCGATATCCGGAATAGGAAGGTCTCCTATGTGACTAGCGGTCACATACGGTTGACAGCACGCCTTTTGAACTGACAGTTTCAATGATTGTGACCCATTCACGGTTGCCCTGAATGACTCTGCGTGGTCGCTCACTGCGTATCTTGGTGTCTACTCTGGAGCCTCGGCCCATACCCGACGGGATCATCGCGTTTACATCCTTCCCGCCGGCCCTAGGCCTGCAGTCAGATTTTAAGCCCCGCCTACCCCGTTAGATGCTACTGTGGAGTACTTGGAAATAAAGATCGACAGACCCGAGTAAGCACTAAGGACAGTAATATATGGTATATACATGAATCGACAGTCGCTAGCTCACTTTGAACATGTGGCAGATTTCTATGGGTCTACTAAGAAGCGCTGATTCAGCCGTTTTAGTTATATGATCATTCTCGAAATAAATGAAAGTTTTAATTCTTCTAACTACACTATAAAGAAGCCGATATTTATGCAATCTCAGGAGCTTCAGGATGGTCATAAAATGAGCGTAATTTGCATGATCTATATCGTCATAAATCATACGATTAATGTAGATCGGTTCGCATGTTCGGTCCGGTCAAGCAAGGCGATAACTAGTTAACGTATTTCACTAGCGAGTGAGTCAACACTATCGAGTGAGTCACCCACCGCGTTTTGGACGCGACCGAAAACCTCATCCAATTCAACCACCCACCATGCCTCCAAAAGCGCGTCAAAATCCAGGAAACTCAGCTCAGCAAGAGGGCAGGATTCTAACTTGCTATTTCTGCCTTAAAAAAGCAAGATATTCGCAGTATCCGTGAAGCTGCGCGCGTTTTTCGTATCTCTTTTGAAACGCTTCGTCGCCGACTTAATGGAACAACTTCACGCTCAGAGACACCCGCCAATGGCCATAAAATGACTCAAAATGAAGAGGAATCGCTTGTACAATGGATTCTATCATTAGATCTACGTGGAGCCCCTCCCCGACCTTCGCATATACGAGAAATGGCCAATATTCTACTTGCTCAACGCGGTACTACCCCAGTTCAATCAGTCGGAGAGAACTGGGTCACCAACTTTATTAAACGACAAGATCGCTTGAAAACTCGCTATACTCGACGCTATGATTATCGACGTGCTAAATGCGAAGACCCTAATATTATACAAGAGTGGTTTAACTGCGTACAAATTACTATAATGCAACACGGGATCGCGCAGGAAGATATCTACAATTTTGACGAAACTGGCTTCGCTATGGGCCTAGTAGCTACTGCACGAGTAGTTACTAAAGCTGACACTAAAAAACAACAACTTCGACGCAAATCAAATTTTTGAAATTACTCAACTACCACGACGGCTACAGCCTTTAGAACCGATCAGTTTGCCAATAATTCTAACCGCTATCGAATAATCCTATTTCCGTAGGAGATTTCAAAATAGTTGGGGCAAAAATCCCGTGACCGGCCCTTTCAGGGATTCCCGAAGCAACAAATTCTTTAAATCAGAATTTTTTTACTTGTGTACTGAACCTTCATGCTAACGCGAAATTGTTCATTTCGCACAATGAGCAAACCGGAAAACAGCTCCTAAAGCCTGTTATTAACTTTTTTAAACAGGTAGTTACTTACTGCGGATATATACAATACTAAGCAACCAATATTCTCGATAGGAATGCTCATTTAGGACCTAAACTGGCCTCGATCAAGCAAACCCTTCAGAATGTCCAATAATATATCTATAACACTCAGTCAAGCATTCGGAACCAAAGTTACCATTTCTGGGCTTCTGTAATTAGAAATGTACCTTTTCTAACCTATACGATCTTTTCTTACGGTTCCTTTAGTACTGCCCCGGCCACCCCGTCGGAACTCAGCAAGGATCGCAAAATAATCGTTAAATTGCAGGATATTAGTGCCCAGAAGACCTACCGAAAGAAGTCATCGGCAGAGATAAAAGAAAAAACAAAAAATGCAAAAAAAAAGGCTGCAATAGCAATTTCTGTATTTTCTCTAGCGAGAGCCCGATTCGTTTTCGCTTGGCAATTACGCTCGGGGGATTTAAACCTAGCCTTACGTACTGCTACAAAAGCCGAAACTGCCAGAATCTACGATAAATGGGTAGATTTTATGTCAAACGGGGCTACCCTGCGGCGCCCTACGTGGGGCATAATAGTTTATGATATCCCGATCAAGTTAATTCAGGATCTGAATGATCAGGACGAACAGAATCGAGTAACCAGCGAGCTACTTAACGAAAACAAAGAAATTTGGAACTAAAAACCTAATATTAGGTGCGTAACCTGGTTTACTTATCCTTCCAATTATAAGAATTAGAAATCTTCTGTTCTTATTGTTAAATTCTCTGACCCGAGACATGCAAATGAGGCAATCATAAAAGGGTCTATTTAGGCTAGTGATAACCGGATAACTGTTCTATATGATAGAAACGCGCAGATTCGGCAATACTTTAAATGTTAACAATATAGATACATAAAAATCGTTTGTTCGAATAAAATAACCTGCGGCCTCTGTACCGAAGGTCACGAAACCTAATCTTGCGTACAGAGGTCTACTACCGATAGCTAAGGGCGCAAATGCGCTAAATGCAGCAAAACGCACGCCGCCTAGTCAAGAGCTTGCACGAGATATGTAGTAGAGCAGGAGCGGATACAAGCTATAACTTAATATCGATAGCCCTTATATTGTATTTTGCCCTATCTACAGGATTATTCTTCCGTGGGTAACGATACGGAGATCTCTAGCCCGCCTAACAGCGAGGGGCGGGCTACAGGATCTGAAAAAAGAAGAGAGAGATTAATCCGGTCAATTAGCTGGTTAACAGAGCGAAATCGCTCTACAGTAAGGTTTTAAGAAGGATCTATACTGTTATATAATTTACAAGAACTTGTTTTTGTATAGCATAAAGAGACTCTAATAGATCTAAATCCAGAAATGGATATAGACCCTATCCCGTCTGAGTCAGAACCGTCAATTGCCCAACAAATCGATATAATTAACGAACCAGAGACGCCCGCATCAGTAACCTTTATTTCTAGGGGTCGTATTCTGAGTAAAAGGTACTCCCGCAGCGTTATTTTCTCGGAAATAACAAGGCAGCGCATTAGATACCAAATAACGCAGGAAACCGTTTGCCTTACTAGTTTGCCTGTTACAGGGAACACTCTATCAGCGAAAAGGGTTTAAAACAAGCAATTAACCTACCGAAAATAACCAGTATCGATTAGCGATACTTTTAGCGATAATGCAGTAACTGCCCTTTTAAAATTACCGGAAATATCTCTTATCCCTGTACTTATTCCTTCAGAACATTCGATTACGATTGTTCTAGCCGAAAATAATACGCCTGGCCATTCAGTATCAAGGAAACGTACTAGAAATTATTACTATAAATAGATCTCTACACGTATTTCAATACAATATAAATCGATCAAAGGATAGAGTAATGATACAGTTCCTTCGGAACCTTACGGTCCTAAAGGCTGACCTCATCTTTGTACAAAAACCTTAGGAGAATCCCTATCAGGATACTACTTATTATCCTGCTAACGGCTCTCACCAGTTCCTATACCCGGATTCAACCGAGATAGGGAACGAGCGGGCCCGCGTATACCTTTATATATTATATTAAATCGATTTTAATACCTGGAAACATACAGTGCATTCGAAAGATATCTAAAAGTTCAAATTCACTGATGTTAACGGCTAACAAATGCGCATCTTCAATATATATAATCGATCTAACGAAATAGATAGTACTACCCTTAACCTTATTATCTCTCTAATTACCTTTGCCGGCCTTACTAACAGCTCTACTAACTCCCGTTTGTTCCTATTAGGCGACTTTAATTTCCACCACCCGGCATAGGGAAGAAAACGTTCTAAAAGAGATTCCTCGTTTGACCAGTTACTGGAACTGATAGATACGAGGTATCTAGATCTCTGGCTAGAACCAGGCATTACTACGTAGGAGCGCAACGGAAGCAAGACCACTATCGATCTAGTTTTCGGCTTGCAGGACCTGACCCCTAGGCTCGTTACCTGCGAGATTAACGAGCGAAACTACGCAGATTCGGACTACTATCTAATACGAACCCTTCTTGATATCAGTACTAAAACCCCCGAGATACAGCAAAGAAAGAACTGGAAAACTTGCAATATTAAAGACCTACAAAGTTTCGTAGATCTCAATCTACAGAGCAAGGCCTTTCCCTTGCAAATAAAATAACATATTAAGCTCGCTATAGAATACCTTATCGAAACGATTAATCAAGGAATCGCTACCTCTATCCCGTGGGCGAAACCTAGCAAATGGGCAAACCTTTCATTCAATGCGGAATGCCGCGAAATGGTTAAGATTACCCGGAAGTTCCGGCATAAGTATATAGAATCAGTTATTGTAAACGGCCTTATTGACCCTACTACAGGCCTCCGATAGGAGCGCTATACCAAAGTTAGAAACCGTAAAAGAAAAGTATTGGCTAAGGTACTGCGTCAGGGCTACCGTTTCTGGGTCCGCAAGGCTACCGAATCAGGCCCTCGAGGCATGTAGAAGGCAGCTAAATGGGCAAAAAGTAAAGAAACCTGCGAAAGCCTTATACTAACGCTAAAGATAGATGGCGGGCTTGCAGAGACCGCAAAACAGAAATTAGAGGCATTCCGTAAAGCCTTCTTTTTTGAATTATTTCCGGCCGACCTCTCTAATATCTTTACGGCTCGGATATCCCTTTAGATTGACTTCCCGGACTTTACCGAGCACGAGGTGCTCTGTTGTATCAGACGGGTGCCTCCCGATAAAGTACTAGGGCCGGATAGCATCCCTAACAAGATCTAATACTGGCTAAATGAAGTTTTCTCTTTTCTCGCTGTACTAACGCAAATATTTAACGCGTGCCTACGTCTTGGGCACAATCCGGAATACTTTCAGCAATCGACTACTGTAATACTGCGTAAAACAGCCCCCCAGGACTATTGTATCGCCAAATCTTACCGATCTATAGCGTTTCTGAATACCCTCAGTAAGATCTTGGAAGCTGTAGCTACAGTACGGATCGTTTGGGCTCTAGAGGAGCGCAATCTCCTACCTAGGAGCCATCTAGGGGGCCGCAGGGGCATTTCAGTCAATTACCTGATCCAGTTGCTTCTTGACCAGATCTTTGAGAACTGAGGCAAAAGCCGGAAAATCAGTATGTTACTTCTAGACGTAACTGATGTCTTCGATAATGTCTCGCATATACGGCTCCTCTATAATTTGCATATAATAGGGCTCGATTTTTTCGCCGGCTGGCTCAAGTCCTTTTTATCGAATCGATCGACAAGGCTGCAGTTCCTCAGATATCTCAGCAACCTTATTTTAACCCCTACCGGGATCCCCTAGGGGTCCCTTATATCGCCGATCCTATTCCTCCTATTTAATACCCCCCTTATTCGCGCCCTATCGATTGACAGTATTAAGGCCCTTTGGATTTAGCTACCCCTCCTGGAAGGAAGCAAGACAGTTTCCTACAGGTGGATTGACGATATCGCTACCCTGGCCATCTCGGATAGCTACGCGGTCAACTAGCGTCTCCTAGAGAGGGCCCTAGACAAGGCCGCGGTATGGTCAAGGCAGCATTCGTCCAAATTTGCCCCCGATAAGTTCGAACTCATTCATTTCAAGAATCTGTTTCGCCCTGACCCTGCGGTAGAACGACCCGTACCGCAGGAATATATATATATTGAGCCGTGATAGGGAGAGAACCCAGAGGTTAACAACTGGAATCCCCTAATGGAATCCCCTGGTTACGATCAGCTGCCCATTAAGGACCACGCAACCGGCTCTATTATCAAGCCAGTAGAGTACGCCAAATATCTAGAAATCTAGCTTAATAGGACCCTTTCGTTTGACATTTACAGGGCCAAGGCCCTTGCCAAGGCAAATAGAACCTTGGAAGCCTTCCGCAGCATCTCAGGCTCGACCTGGGGGACCTCCCTGCTGAGCATGCGCCGCATCTACCTAGCAATAGTAGTCCCTCAGCTACTATACGGGGCGGCAGCCTGATATAGCCCTACGAATCAGACAGCTAATTACAAGAAGCTCCAGAAGACAGTTAATAAATTTTAGAGAATTTAAACCCGCGTAACTATTCTTATCAGTAGCGCGTTTCGTAACACGGTTTCAGCTGCATTAAAGGTAAAGCTCTATTTCCCCCCTATACGAATACAGATATAACAAACTATCTAAAAGGCGGCCATTCGGATCCAAACCGAGCCGGCTATAACCTGCCCCCGGGATCTCCGCTGAAAAAGGTCGAAAGAGACATTTAAAGCCTCCGAATACTCTCCTATGGAGGCGTTAAAGTGAAAAAAAACAGGCCCACTATATGGATACGGCAGCAGGCAGGAAGAGTGAGAGACCAGACGGGCTCATATGTTAGCCCCGTAGGAGTTACCCCTCAGGTACATCATTGAGGGGGCAGAGGAAACAGTCTAGACCCACGATAGAATCTGCCGCAAGGACCGGCAGATCTGATATACAGATAGAAACGGCTATCAGGGAATGATCGGAGCTGCTGCAGTCTCTATTCGAGCAGGTAAAACCGCTAGAAAGTACCTAGGAACGGAACTGGACTCTACAGTCTACGTTAGGGAATTAGAAGGGACCTGAATGGCCCTAGATCGGGCGAAGCCTATTCCGATCACGGTTTTCTCAGATAGCTAGGCAGCTATTTAAGCCGTGCGCAATCCCGGCCGGCTATCGGGCCAGTACGTATTGCAGACTATTTATGAGAGAATCAGGACCCTACAGAACGAAAACCTAGAGAATACTGAATTACGTTAGATCCCCGTTTATATCGGGATAGAGGAAAACGAAAAGGCGGATAAAGCAGCCAAAGAAACTGCGATAAAGGGAATTAAATTAAGTTCAGTAAAACTGCGAGATCGATCAATCATACGGCTTACAGTTACAGTTAAAAGAGATATCCGTTAACGCTTGCGTACAAAGTGAATAGAGCAATAGAAAAGGCAGAAAATAGGCAGGCTGACGAGACAGCTGCTACCTAAACTAAACAAAAAGAATTTATAGCTTTACGAATATCTCTGTAAGCCGCATACCTCGATTATTATTCAGATGCGCACTATAAGGATAGGATTAAAGCATTTTCTCTACAAGATCAAACAGGTCGACTCCGACCGGTGCGCCTGTGACCTAGGGTCTCAGACCCCTAGGCATGTCTTTCTGGAGTACTCGTTACACACGGCCGGCCGGAAAATAATAATAGATTACTTTAATCAGATAGAGGGACTGCGTAAACGTATACAGGATTACGATACAGTTATAGCATATCCGCAGGCGATCCGTTACATCGCCAAATTTATGCAATAAATAGGCTTTCTTTAACAATTCCGATTCGCTCGACTGGACGAGGAAGACGAGGAGGTTCCAGAACCTACCAATCTGCTAGAAGGATTCGAACTAGGCGAGGAAAACGATAGTTACATAGAACTTTAGGGGGCGGCCTGGGTTAGACTGCTACCAGTGACGCATACTACCTACGAACTATCTATATAGAACGAGGCAGAAGGAGAGACAACGTTAGGAGACGTAGACTACGGCAGGCGAGTGGCAGCCGGTTCAGTTGCGTTACTTTATAATTTATCTACTGCGTTTGTGGGTTTATATGGCGTAAGGGCTCGAGATTCTGCTTCATTCGGCGAAACGCCTGCATAGCCTGTCGTTTCAATAGATAGGCTTCATCAGGTTAATAGAATTTTGATTGATTGATTGATTGATTGATACTAAAGCTGACTACTATGTAAAGGTCTCTCTCGTACAGCCAGGTAATCGTGAATGGGTTACTTCAATCGAGTGTATCAACTCTACTGGTTAGGCGCTTCCTCCATGTGTGATCTTTAAAGGGAAGGTCCATATAGAGGGTTGGTATCAAAATATTAAGCTCCCACGCGATAGCAGGATTGAAGTTAGTCCTAATGGATGGACTACCGATGAGATAAGCCTTCGCTGGCTTAAAAATCTCTTTATTCCTGCTACTACACGGCCATGGCAGCCATCTTACGCCTCAGTTTGACCAAATATGCAGTGAGAATAATATTGTTCCTATCTGTATGCCAGCTCATTCTTCCCACAAGCTTCAATCTTTGGACGTGGGCTGCTTTACGCCTTTAAAAAAGGCGTACGGGAGCTTAGTGGAGCGGAAAGCACGCTTAGGAATCAATCATATTGATAAACTTGATTTCCTAGAGGCCTTTCCACAAGCTCGTGAACGCGCTTTTCAAGCAGATACAATTCGGAATAGCTTCGCAGGCGCTGGCCTTATTCCATTTGATCCAGATAGGGTGTTCAATCAGCTGAATATTCAACTAAAGACCCCTACACCACCAGGCAGCCGGTCAACCAATTCAGCCCCAAAAACACCCTACAATACTAGGCAGCTGGAGAAGCAGGCATCTACTGTGAAGAAGCTGCTTAAAACGCGTATGCAGAGCCCTTCATCTTCGCTAGAGACGCGTATAGATAAGCTTATTAAAGGTCATGAATTACATCTTAATGAGCTTATTCTTGCACGCGAAGAAATCCACGAATTACGCGCTTCTCATGAAAAGAAGCTTCAAAAAAGGAAAAGTTCTACTAGGTAGCTAGCTATTACAGAGGGATCAGCTATTCAGGAGGGCCTAGAGCGATTTCAGCGCGAGAATGAGGTTGATGAAGCTCAAAATACGCTTCCCCTAGATCCTGCACTTTCTGCAGTCAGGCCACGCGTACGAGCGCCCCCGCGGTGCAGTGATTGTCATATTCTAGGACATAGGCGATTACAATGTCCTAATCGAGTTCCTAATTGGTTTTTATATAGAAATGCAATTATTTGGTTGATAAAGGCTCTAGTATTTAGCCCGTAGGCAGGAATTCAGAGGCGGTGTTTCACTCGGTGGGGGTGTTTCACTCGGTAGTGAAATACTGTGACGAACTGACCAAGAACCACTATATAGAGTGATGCGCGTACCAAGTTGTCGACTTGGTATTCTGGTCTTTTTAGTAGCTCAGTCGGTAACCGTCCCACAGACCTACTAAAACGGTCTTGGCGGGTAGAAGCGCACCTACCCAATGTTAAGCCCGTGACAAATACTGTCGCCGCGGATATACACTAGAAAGAACCCTTACTACTAAGGGTTGACCCTTTTTAGTGTAGCGGTAATTTTTCTGCCACATCATTCAACTATCTGGCGCTATGTTTCAGAAATCTAAGCATGGAGAGGAAAATATTGACAGGATCGTGGTTCGTGGTGTTGTGGGATAACCTCGCCAGAAGCTAGTCCACATCTGGCAGGCGGTCATAACTGCGCCAGTAACCTCGTGATCAAGGCCACGCGCTGGCCGTGACAATAGTTGAGTGCTTAGTATTTGAAGAGGATCGTGGCCTCTGCAAAATATGAGCCTCGGACGGACTAATGTTATTCCCAGCTTCCGAGCTAATTATATCTCATCAGGTTACACCCAGCCCCCGTTCTCGACCCGCCCCTGCCCGCTTCTCTACCAAACTATGGTATTCATTCCAATATACCCTTCGCATTTTCGTCCAAATCCTTCATATATGTTTCACCATCTCTTAGACCCGATTTACTTCGTTTATTGACTTTAGTAAGGATATGCTATATCATCAACTGCTTACTGCTTTTACTAGCTACACACAAGATTAACCTAGAACTAGACTTCATGGCTATCGATTTCCAGACAGTAGTCCCGATCCTCCGCATCTTTGACATCATCAAGGCGGACGAGTTCTACCTCCACTATCTCGGCTTCAAGGTCGACTGGGATCATCGGTTCGACGACAACGCGCCGTTATATCGCCAGATTTCCAGGGGAAACCTGATCCTTCACCTAAGTGAGCATCACGGGGACGGCAGCCCAGGTGTGCAAGTCCGAATAATGATAAGAGGAATCGCGGAGTATCATCGCGAGCTGCGTGCCAAAGATTATCGATATATGAGGCCAGGAATTGAAGAGGGTCCGGCGGCGGGATCGAAGGAGATGAGCGTCATCGACCCATTTGGAAACCAAATAAAGTTCTGCGAGGATGATGATAGGAAACGCAAACCTGGACACGAACACGAGACAGAGTAGTGTTGATTGAGGCTAGCTCAGGGTCAGGATCCGGAAGTGCTACCTAAAATAAGGTAGTTGACAAGCGGGAAAAAGTAGTAAAGTGAAGGACAGCGGGCAGCGAGAGGAGTAGCTGTAATAACCTCAAGAATGAAAAAATGACCTTTATTGTAAGCTAGTTACGAAACACTAGATTGAGAAAAGAAGAAGAAGAAAATAGTGATTTACTGCATAAAACAGTAAACAAACCCGCTGTAGAAGATAAACAAATCAAGCAGTACAAACTATGCAAATACCTTGGTATAGGGCGTTGCTGCATGCTCAAGACGTCACAGTAGCAACAAAACCGACGACTAACAATCGAGAGACCTCTGAAGCTTTAGATAAAAGGCACAACATGGAAAGAATATACATGATAGCCCTGATCCTGACGAAGGTAATGGAAAGTCGCACGTCAAATTCTTATGCCTACTACACAATCACTTTGTCGGAGCTTTAACCTTTCTCTAGTAGGGGTAACTCTATCCCATCGAAGTAACATTTGTGAACGATAAAAGTTGATTGTATCGACTCCACTAGCTCTAAGAATCGAGTATCTGTAGAACAAGCCTCGGAGAATTTCTCAAATTCCATTACCATCTGTATCTAGCGTTACAATAAAGTGGACAGTTTGCCACTAAGACCTGCGATAAATGCACTTAAACTTCATGCGGATAGGACTTGCATCAGAGGTAGGGATTGGTAGCATCTATCGTTCGTACGCCTTGTCGGTATGCCTCCCAGTGCTTCATGGTGCCAATGCTAGTTTCATAAGCTGGCGCTACAGGTAAAAATCAATATCTTGTCCTGCCTGGAGACGCCGCATATGAGGGTAGGGACGGACAACTAATGTATAATATAAGCCCTTATATAATGCTAGATCTCAACGTATCATTTCTACCAGTCCATGTCTTAAGATAGAAGATCCTTATTACAGCATTCTAAGAGAAAATGACACGTCATCTGGCAGTGATATCTTTGGAGTCAGTTTCCTATTATGATCCGCCAGTTAGCTAGTTAGCCTAAGGTAAGCTGCTGTGAGCTAGACAGATTACACACAGTGAGATGACAGGTGACCCATTACGGCCAAACTGTACACGTTCCTGTTCCTACCTTGACTGCGAGAGGTCACCAATAAAACCTGTATGTTGAATCTAACTATCTTTACCAGTCTTTATGAGGCCTATTATTCAACCTAGCGAGCCGCACCAGCCCGAACGCCAACGTTAACAAAGTAGTAGTAGAGTGCAACAAAATATATCTTGCCGGTGCCAATGCCAGCAATCCGAGCCAGAGACCACAAGATCGCACCTCCGCTGTAGGACATTACCACTTGAGCACGATCAATAGCATCAGGTTGTACCGGAAAACGGAAGGGAGAGGACAAAATAGGAGAGGCCAAAGACGTGAAGACAAACAAGGATCACGCCATCTCGACGGGACGCTAGAGTAGAATCCATCTTGGGTGTTCCGGACTGCAAAGCTGAGGAATGCTGGACGACTAGACACAGTACGTAGGACTAGACGAAGGGCAAGCATTGCTTTTAAGTAGAGGCAAGGGGGATCATTACCGACTTATGGCAACACACGGCTGACTCGATATTCCCAGCGATGCTCAGTTGCACGGTCAGAAAAGCTACAAGTTGTCTTGAGATAAATATGTAATAGCCTGCACACTACTTAAAAGGAAAGGGACTATGAGTTTTTTTTTGGATTTCTATTTTTTAAGATTTTTTTTTTTTTTCTTTTTTTTTTTTGGCTTGCTCATAGATAGATCGCGAAAAAGGCATCTCACAAGATCTCCTGCAGGAAGGGGAGGAAGCAAGGATATAGAGTTCAATTTCGTAAATGGCGGTCTGGAGGCTTCCCCTTCCCCCCTGTGGTAGTAGAATCTATATAGATAGGCACACGACATGGGTATAGGGTGGTGGAATGCCCCAATTAGTCGAATGCACGGCGATTTCAGCCCTTAGCCCAGCGACCTTACATGGCGTGACCTTGGTTTGAACGCTTCTATGTATATAAGGTTGAAGTTCAGGACGTCGGATAGGTTCTTTTTTTTTTTTTTTTTTTTTTTTTTTTGAATGTCTGATCGTTAAGCGGAGTTCATCCACCCCCCTATTATCATCTAATCGATTTCACTTTTGCTCTGTAGAGACCCTTTTTCCAGGAGGAATTGTCTGCCAGACGAGTGTCCCTATTGCTTGGTACACATCCCATGATCTTATTTTCTGTCCGGCAGTTGAGTGCTGATCGAGTGTCTGCTCAGTGAGTGGTACAGATTGAGTCTCGAATAAAGTCCATTACGCACGAGATCATGACCGACAGCAATGAACCTTCTTGCTGCTTGATGCCATGCCTTGTCTCCCGGGCCGGCGACTTCAAGAGCCAGACACAACATGGTGCAGGGCAGCTCGTTTCCACGGTCGCGATAGAAAGGCCCTTCAAAGGCGAGGCGGCTCCAAATCTGGCCTCGGAGGAACTGGATATCTTGAGGTCTGTTCAAGCTGTTTGGGGGATCTTATTGCGATCATATACGGGAAGCGACAACATTTGTTTCCGAGTAGTGGACGGGAGAAGAACGCAGACACATGCCCAGGCCGCCGTCTACAGGGCAAATATCACAGATCTAACACCGATACTGTCGCTTCTGGAGACAGACGCTGCTCTGTTGCCGGTTGGGTCGAAGGACCAACTACCGTACAACACAGGCATTTGTTATAATGACGATAACGATCTCCTGAAGTGCTTGGACGATGTGAGTTGATAGGTTGCATGGTCTCTGCGATAGAAGCATATGCTAACAATTGGACAATCTGTCCAGATAAATATATTGGTTCGGATTCAACACAACATGACTGGGCGCTATCATTCCATGGAAATTGGGTACAAGGTTTCCGTCCTTTCTCACGAGCAAGCACAGATGATTGCCAACACTGTGAAGCATTTACTGTCAGAAACGGAAAGGCAACGGAACGGGGCGGTAGAAGACATCAAAGTCTGTAGTGACGCTGACTTTGACTTGATGAAGACCTAGAACAAGCAGTTTGCTGGGGATTTCTCCCCTGCGGAAGGCTCTGTGCACGAGATCATTCTGCGACACTGTCGTGAGAGCCCTGATGCCGTGGCAGTGTCGGCTTGGGACGGTGATATGACCTACGGCGAGCTAGGACGATGGTCCGGCGCTCTGGCAGCCCAGCTGATCAGAAAGGGCGTCAAGCCCGAGGAGTTCATTCCCCTTTGCTTTAACAAGTCCAAATGGGTGGTGGTAGCAGTGCTCGGTGTCCTCAGGGCTGGAGGTGCGTTCATTCTACTGGAAACTTCTCATCCAGTAGACTGGTTGCAAAAGGTATGCGAGTCTGTGTCTGCGACAGTCGTGATATGTGACCCGGAAACCCTGTCGTTAGCGAAGCAGCTATCCCGGACGACGATTCCTCTGATTCCAGAAGATGAGGGGGAGGGTTTGCAAAGCAGCCGTCAGGACGTGTCGTGCCACGCCTCTAGTGCCCTGTATGCTGTCTTCACCTCGGGGAGCACGGGCAGACCAAAAGGAATTATTATGGAGCATGGCGCTTTCTGTGTCTCTACGAAACGAACCGCTGGTGCTCTCGCAATGGGACCGAACACGCGACGGCTGCAATTCGCTTCACACGCGTTCACGATGTGCAACCGTGAAATTCTTATGATGTTGATTCTTGGCGGCTGTCTGTGCATTCCGTCTGCCCATGAACGAATATACGATTTGGTAGGTTTCATGAACCGCCATCGTGTCAATTATGCAAACATGACACCGTCAATGGCGGTTATGCTGTCTCCCGAATCGACTCCTGGCCTTCAGGTCCTTTTGATAGGCGGCGAGGCAATGGGACCATCTCTCCTTAGCAAATGGGTTGGCAAGGTGAAGCTTCTATATGGTTACGGAGCCAGCGAGACTTCCGGGGTAGCAGTCCTTGCGTCAGATCTAGGGCATGACTGGGATCCGCATAACCTGGGCTTTGCCCGGGACTCTGCCCTCTGGGTAACGGAAATTGACAATCCTCACCGACTAGCTCCGATTGGCGCGGTGGGCGAATTGCTCATTCAGGAGAGAGGGCTGGCGCGGTGTTACCTCGGCGAGGAAGAGCGGAACCGTCAGGTATTCTTACACAGAGTGGACTGGCTTCAGGACCCGGGTGAGTACCGTTTGTATCGAACCGGGGATTTGGTGCGGTATAATGTGGACGGGTCCATCTATTACGTCGGACGAAGAGATAAACAGATAAAAATCAACGGCCAGCTGGCCGACCTAAATCATGTTGAGCATGAACTTCAGCGATGCATGGAGTCAGTCGGGGGCGGAGTGTCAAAGCGCTGCCATCATCGTGATCCCAGCAGCTGGTGAAAGCTCGAAAAAGCACCGGAGTCTGCAGTTAACGGCGGTATTAGGTCATGGGCCCCAGCTGGAACAAGAAGAACAGGAGATGGTGATCGATTATCTGGAAAAGGTATTTCCAGACTGGACAGTGGCGTTGGAGAGAGAGCTGGCCCGGTACCTACCTCGGTACATGATTCCGTCCCACTTAGATTTTTGCAAGAACATGCCGATGACGAAGTCCGGCAAGGTGAACCGTCCTAAGCTCACAGAGCTAGTCGTTGAATCCCTCACGAACACTGCCTCAGGACCGAAGATAGGAACCTGGAAGAGTAAAGGGGAGATTGCTCTGAGCAAGGCATGGAGTCAGACACTTAGGGGGCAGCCCCATCATGGAGACGACTTCTTTCGGAAGGGCGGAGACTCAATAGCAGCCATACAGCTCATCGCACGACTCCACGAAGAGCAACTCACCTTAACAGTGATCGATATATTCCGGGAAAGGACATTTGCCGGTATAGCGACAGCCATGAAAGTCACTTCCAGTATAGTGAAGTCGGCACCACCGCCATTTTCTTTGTATACTGCAGATATCACGCTTTTGAAAACCATTAGTGATGTGTTGGGTATTGAGATGGACCTCATTGAGGATCTTTACCCGTGCACCCCAATGTAGGAAGCCTTGGTGGCCTCTTCCCTCAAAGACGTCGGGGCAAGCATAGCTCACCACGCCTGGATAATACCAGAAGAAGTCAATTTAAACCTATTCAAGGAGGCTTGGAGTATCGCTTGGAGGTCAAATCCTATACTCCGCTCGCGCATCGTACCAGGGGGTTCCGGGATGCTGCAGGTTGTCACACGAACTGATATGCCCTGGAAGACAATCGAAAGCCTCGACGAGCTTGAGCCACTGAGCATCGACGGAGGGCCCCTTATTCAGCTCGTAGTGAAATCGGATCAACCATCTTTCCATCTGATTGCCAACCACACCATCTTTGACGCATGGTCCTTGAACCTTGTGTGTGAGCAGGTCCAACATGCATATCAGGGAGCGCATTGCTCACCACATGCTTTCAATCATTTCATCCCTTACCTTCGCCACAATTCTGGACCAACCTCGGCTCTCTTTTGGCGAAGAGAGCTTGGTGGGTTTAAAGGGCGCCAATTTCCCGAGTCTCCAGCCGGTGCAATGGTACAGAAGACCACGATGACGGTCGCACACTCATTCGAGGCAGAGCTGACGAACGAGTTGGGGTTCACCACCGCATCTTTTCTCCGTCTTGCATGGGCTATTTGTGTTGTCCCAGGAAACCGCCAGCTCGGATGTTGTATTTGGGGCAATTGTCACCGGCCGCAGTGCAGCTCTGGAAGATATTTCTAAACTTAGTGGGCCTACATTGGCTCTGGTCCCAGTCCGTGTCCAGTTTAGTCCCACAGACTCAATCGAGACGACTTTGCAAGTAATCCAGGAACAGTCTTCACGCATGACTCCGTACGAGCAAACTGGACTGCAGCATATTGCAAAGGCTGGCGATGACGTTGCAGCTGCCAGCAACCTCCAGAATGTTATGGTAATCCAACAGCGTCAGCGGATGGAGTCAATGCGGTCGGGTCTTTTTGCCCACCCCATGGCTAGAGGAGAAAATTACTTGCTTCCCTTCACGACCCACCCGTTATTGCTTGTTTGCCAGCTTGGTGAAAATACGATTTCTCTGCAAGCGTCATTTGATTCCTGCATTATTTCCCCGGAGCATGCCCGCCGTCTTCTGCGCCAGCTCGCCCACGTTTTAAAGCAGCTCACCACACTTCCACTAACGACCATTGCGGATGTTTCTCTTTTTCCCATTGAAGACCAGAAACAGATAAAGCAGTGGAACAGCCATGTCTCACCAAGCCCTGGTGCTTCGATTGTCGACCTGATTCAACAACGGTGTCAGACTCAACCACACTCAGTTGCGGTCTGCGGAGATGGCTGCTCGCTGACATATCAAGACCTTGATCAATATTCCACGAACTTGGCAGCACGGTTAAGGCTGAAGGGAGCGGGCAGAGGACAGTACGTGCCTCTGATGTTTAATAAGTCCCCTTGGGCCTCCATTGCTATGGTAGCCGTTCTCAGAACCGGTGCCGCGTTTGTAATGCTGCCGCCGGCGTATCCTTTGGAGCGTCTGAAAAGCATCGTGTCTGAGACCAAGGCAAAGGTTATTGTTGCGTCGCCTACCTGTGCGAAGGCTGGGCGGCAGCTGTCGGGAAATATCATAATCTTGGATAGTCCAGCGGTCGAACATCCCCCAGAGGGAGATGGCTGCTCGGGTATTCCGCAAGATTCAGCCCCTAGACCAGAAGATCCTGCCTATGTTGTCTTTAATTCGGGGTCGACAGGTAAGCCAAAGGGTATCGTACTGCACCACAGCGCAGTTACCACGGGCATTGGAGAGCGTTGCAAGGCCATTCGGATGGATTCAAAAAGCCGTGTTTTCCAGTTTTCTTCTTACGCATTTGATGTTAGTATCAATGATAATGTCATGGCTCTGGTTGCCGGTGCCTGTATCTGCGTGCCCACCGAGTCAGAGCAGCAAAATGACCCTAGCACAGCAGCAACACGGCTAAAGGCTAATTGGGCTATGGTTACCCCATCCATCATTCGCTTGCTCGATCCAGGCATTGCATCGACGTTGAGAACCTTTGTTGTTGGCGGAGAGCCTTTGACAATGGATATTGTCAAGAAATGGGAGCACCACGTGCATATAATCCAGATCTATGGCCCTGCTGAATGCACAGTCCTATCCACAATTCAACCTGACGTCACGTCAGATTCCGATGTGCGCAATATTGGAAAGGCTGTCCAATGTGCCAGCTGGATTGTCGATCCGCAGAACCATGATCGCCTCCAGCCCATTGGAATGGCCGGCGAACTGCTTCTGCAGGGCCCAACAGTGGGATTAGGATATCTCAACGACCCAAAGCAGACAGCGGGGGCGTTCGGTCCACCTCCTCAATGGCTTCCTCGAATGTCGGCCCCGGGAAGCTCCCGCGCGTTGTACAGGACGGGTGATCTCGTCAAGTATGCCCCAAATGGAAGTCTTATTTTTGTCGGTCGCAAAGACCTGCAGGTCAAATTCCGGGGACAGCGCCTAGAGCCTGGTGAAGTTGAATCCCACATCATGTCACTAATTCCTGGCATCAAGGAAGTTGCTGTCGAAATGGTTAAGTTCAACGCGGCAGGCAATCGAGAATCACTAGTGGCCTTTATGTGCCATGAGTCTAGTATGCGCTGGGGCCTAGCAGAGGATCGAAGCGAGAGTCTAGACATTATTTCACCGGGAGGTTCCTTCTATAATGACATCGCGAAGCTCTCTTCTCACCTGAGCGAGCGACTGTCCTCTTACATGGTTCCAACCACATTCATCCCGCTTCGGAGAATGCCCCTTACCCTCACTGTCAAAGTCAACCACAAACTGCTTCGAGAGGAGATTGCAACCTGGCTTCCGGAAAAGATCAGTGCCTATCGGCCACAAGCAGCTTCCCAAGTCCCAAGACAACGCCCGGTAGTGGCACGCGAGAAATGTATCCATAGGCTTGTCTGCAGCGTACTCAACCGAGACGGCCAGAGTGTGTCAATGGGCCAAGATTTCTTCAGTCTGGGCGGGGATTCTATCACCGCAACCTTATTGGCTTTAGCGGCAAAAAGGGAGGGGATACACATCTCTGTCGAACGCATCTTCCGGTACCAGACCCTCGCTCAGCTGGCCGAAGAATCGAGCAACGCGGTTTCAGAAAAGTCTCGGTGCAAAGACCCTGGTCATAACCAACCGCTTGCCAAGCTTGAGAAGCTGCAACGGCTCGTTGCGAAAGTTCTTAAGCTCAGGGAGTCGCAGGTTACGGCTAGCAGTGATTTCTTTGACCTGGGTGGTGATCCCATCACCAGTCTAGAGCTGGCAGTGCAGGTGAAGCGAGAGGGAATCCTCATAATCGAGCAAGATATATTTGACAATCCGATGATATCAGCCTTGGCCGGCGTAGCGAAGGATCTAGACAAGAAGCAAAACGGTCTCGTGCAGGCAATGGTTTGCTGTTCCGACGAAGAGCTCCGAAGGGAGCTGCCAGTGGATATCTTGCCCGGTCTTGTCGAGGTCTTGCCCACTACACAGTTCCAGCGCATGAGCAACAGCTCGATGAACTATAGCTACTATAGAATCCACCTGCCGTCTGGGTTCGACAAGCCGAGGCTTCTGTGGGCCTGTCAGCAGCTTGTTCATCGGCATGCAATCATGCGCACGGGATTCTTCAAACTCAGCTCTGTGGAAGAGGTTCAACTTGTACTGCAGCCTCGAGAGGTGACGGTGCACGAGCACCATGTACAAGACCTGGACGCACATTGCCGCCACGATGACACGGTGGCAGATTGGCAAGACTGCGGAAAGCCGCCATTTCAAATGCAACTGGTTACGCTAGCTAACGGCCGCGTCTTTCTTGTCTTTCGACTCGGCCACGCCTTGTTTGACGGCCTCTCGATTCGTCTGATAGGCGAAGAAATAGCGAGCCTCTACAATGGGCAGCCGTTACCAGAAACCAACCCATTATCCGTTCATCTGCGCGCCACCCTCGCGCTCCGAACCGATGCCGCGTTCAACACCTAGCAGCGGGTATTAAAGGGATCTCAGGTAACCTTGCTAACGGGTGAGCGGATACCAGTCCATGAAGATGAGACCCTACGTGACAAGCCCGCCTATCTTGTGAAGGCACCCCTCCAGCGAAGAGGACCCGAAGCAAGCAGCCAACCTACCGAGAACGATCAGTATCGACTAGCGATATTACTAGCGATAGCGCAGTGACAGCCTTCCTAAAATCGCCGGAGGCATCTCTTATCCCTGCACCTACCCCCTCAGGGCATTCGACCACGATCGTCTTGGCCGAAGACAACACGCTTGCCCGCTCAGTATCAAGGAAACGTACTAGAGATCGTTGCCATGAATAGGCCCCTACACGTGCTTCAATACAATGTGAATCGATCAAAGGATAGGGTGATGGCCCAGTTCCTCCGGGACCCTGCGGTCCTGGAGGCTGATATCATCTTTATACAAGAACCGTGGGACAACCCCTTTCAGGATTCAACCAATTATCCAGCCAAAGCAACACACCAGCTTCTATACCCGACACGGACAGATATAGGGGACGAGCGGGCACGCGTGTGCCTCTTTATTTGGCGACAAATCGACTCTAACACCTGGAAACACACACCCCATTCGAGGGACATTCAAGAGCTTGATCTGACCGATGCTGATGGCAAGCGGCTTCGCATCTTCAATATATATAATCGACCAGCCGAGGTTGGCACAGGCACCTTAGGCCTGGTCAGTGACCTCACTATTAACAATACTAACGACCACGTCCTCCTACTGAGGGACTTCAACCTTCACCACCCGGCCTGGGGCGGCAAGAATGCTGCCCGAGATACCCTTTCTAACCAGTTACTTGATTTAAGCGATAGAGGGTGCCTGGATCTCTGGCTAGAGCCGGGCATCACTACCAGAGACGAAGCCGGAGCGAAGACCACGATCGACCTAGTCCTCGGCTCGCAGGACCTGACCCCTAGACTCGTTACCTGTGAGGTCACTGAAAAGATTCACGCAGATTCCGATCACCTACCTATACGGACCCTTATCGACATCCAAACCAAGACCCCGGAGGCGCAGCGGCGCCGCAACTGGAAGGCGTACAAAGTAAAAGAATTACAGACTTTTGTAGACCTGAACCTATACAGTAAAGCCTTTCCACTTGAGAATAAGCAGCACATTGAACTCGCAATGGAGTTCCTTATTGAAACGGTAAATCAAGGAATAGCAACATTTACCCCGTGGGCACGGCCAAGCAAGTGGGCGAACCCGTCTTTCACACCGGAATGCCGAGAGATGATTAAGATCACTCGTAAATTCAGGCGTACATATACCGAGACCTGCATAGCTATGGGCCCTACCGATCTTACTACGGGGCTGGCCTGAGACCGCTATGCGAAAATCAGAAACCGCAAAGGAAAAGTGCTGGCGAGGGCCCTACGGCAGGGACACCGGACCTGGGTTAGAAAGGCCACCGAGGCAGGCCCCCGAGGCATGTGGCGCGTGGCCAGATGGGCCAGGAACCGGGACGCCTCCGGGGGACTGGTCCCAACACTGAAAACACCAGATAACGGCCTCGCACAAACTGCAGAACAGAAAGTTGAAGTATTCCGGAAGGTTTTTTTCCCCTACCTACCTCCTGCAGACTTTTCCGATATCCCTACGACCTCCTTACCTCAGCAACTTGACTTCCCGGATCTTGCTGAACACGAGGTGTTACGCTGCATCCGAAAGGCGCCTCCTGACAAGGCTCCCGGGCCCGACGGCATCCCTAATAAGGTCTGGCACTGGCTAGGTGAGGTTCCCTCCTTCGTGAAGGCGCTTACGGGTATCTTTAATGCCTGTATCCGGCTCGGGCATAACCCCGGATACTTTCAGCAATCTATAACGGTAGTCCTCCGTAAGGCCGCGCCACGGGATTATCGGATCGCCAAATCCTACCGGCCTATTGCCCTCTTGAACACACTCGGTAAGATTCTAGAGGCGGCAATCGCCACCCGCATAGCCTACGCATTGGAGGAACATAGCCTACTGCCACGAGGGCACTTAGAGGGACGCAAGGGTATCTCCGTCGACCACCTGATTCAACTACTGATGGATGCTATCTTTGATGGCTGGGGCCGAGGCCAGAAGGTAAGTATGCTCCTGTTAGACGTAGCAGGGGCCTTCGATAACGTCTCCCATACCCGGCTGCTGCACAACCTGAAGATAGCACGACTAGGGCACTTCGCCGGGTGGCTAGAGTCATTCCTTTCAGACCGATAGACCCGGCTCCAACTACCTGGCTACCCGAGCCGTATCATTTCTACCCCCACGGGAATCCCCCAGGGGTCCCCTATCTCCCCGATGCTTTTCCTTCTTTTCAATACGCCCCTTATTCGGGCACTAGGAATCAATACCGTAGAAAGTATACGCATCCAGCCACCGCTCTCGGGCAGAACCCTGGCATTCGGCTAAATTGACGATGCCTGTACGATTGCTCTCTCCGGGTCCTACGCAGCTAATCAGCGTCTACTGGAGTGGGCACTCGATAAGGCTGTTGTATGGTCCTGGCAGCATTCGTCTAGGTTCGCGCCGGATAAGTTCGAACTGATACACTTCCGGAACCCGTTGGACC